TATGTCGCAAAATACCGCAACGTTTCATTAAATGGGATATGAATTAATACATAATAAAAAGATTAATGAGAAATAATGATGTTCGAGTTTTTCCCTCATAAGATATCAAACAGAACTTATAAATCCATTTTTTGTTTTCAAAAAGTATATTTTGCAGCTATCGTCAGTTGGTAATATGCCGCGTTTTTCAAAAAAATAAAAATATCAACATAGGTTTGCTGACAAAATGAGTCATCACTGATACGATTGTTAGATCGTCTCACCGCCTTTAAATTGTCTCAAAAAGGTGTGCAGACGTGCAAGTTCTGCAAAAAATATAAAATAAGGTAAGGTTATATAACAAATACACACGTTGAAAGCTGTCAACCAAAAATATTACAATTATGAATAAAAAAGAATTGAAGTATATATCCCAACGGCAAAAATGAAAGACATTAAGAAGCTACAATACTCAAAAATACAACTCTGAAATGGACTAGAATCTGGAAAGTAAACATCAGTACACGTGGTATATGCATGTTTGTATATCGATAAAACAGAAAACTTTGAACTGTCCATCATTACGACATTAGTTCATTGTAGGTGGAGGTACCCTGTCTTTATCAAAATATTTTGGCTTCTGCTATGTGCATTTATGTCTTTAATACTTAACACCACTCATCTTTATTCATCTTTTTTTCTGATATGTTTGTCATTTTCTTGATGTTTATGAGTATTACTTATACTACTAAGTACTGATAATCACCTGTCAATAGTCCCGACATAAAACAATTAAGTTTGAATACCTGTCGTAATCAATCAGTGCAAAATTAGATAATAACAGTTTAAAATTATTACAATATTGTCACTTTGAACATTTTATAGTACAAACAATTATACCAAGCAAGCAGAAATTTGAAAATAAAATAGTTTATTTTAATCTTTTCCTGTATTGTACTCAGTTATTGAATAAAGATCAAGATAAAAAAAAATAAAGAAGTATATTTTGTCTTCAATTAATATATAAAGACAGGTATTTATAGGTTTCATAATGTCAGAGTGAGAATTGGATATCGCTTGATATCTACTAGAGTTATTTGATTTCAATATAATAATAAAGGAGCCTTTGGCGAGTTTTTTTATATCTATTTTAAATTAAATAACAAGAGTTGATACCAAGCGAGAAAATGTATCCAATTTTCACGAGTTGTTCAATCTATTTCTCCTATGGTCACAGTGTTCTCCTCAGAAATTTCTTATATCATCCTGGTAAACAGGAAATTGTGAAATACCATCTTGTTTCTAGAAACTATAGCATCACACCTATAACCCTATCTACATGTTTAAGAAACTCATTTCAGATAGTATCACATTCTAGCAATATAGCATCACATTACCATGATGCTAAAAGGCCCTGGGGAAAACACTGGGTAAACAGACTTATTGTGATAAATTAAAAACTGCGAATCGTTGATCTAATCTTGTACATACATTTGTACCAGTATGACATCATATGTCTTTTTGCAGCATCAAACTTTAACTTCAGATATTTTAAAACTGTTTTTATGATTCAGAATGTAATAAAATTTAATAAAAAGAAGATTTCCAGGTGAAAAGTGTGAGTGTTTTGTATATTATTGAAGAAATCACAAATGTCCGTTGCCATGGATGAAATGTACATCGTCTTAACCTTTGAAAGTTATCAATGACCTAACGAATAGATAATAGAAATGTCGTAAGATTGTCTCATGATGCTGGATAAGCCCATCAAATGAACGCAGCTTACGTTTCATTTTTTCGTATCACACTCTGTGCAGTGTGATATGAGACATATATCTCTTCATGCAAGAAATAGATAACAGGCCACATAAGAGAAGAGAGTTTAATAACTTCCAGAGACAAATTCACTAATTAGGCAAAACTTATAAATTGATTTATATATATTCTCTTTATTAACTGTTTTGTTATGTCAAAATTCAAGACATACATTTTAAACATGTCTATAATTACAACAGTTATGAATTGTCTCTGTTATGGAATGACCTTAGACAGTGTTCTCCCCAGGATTTTTTAAGGCGCAAAATTCAAGGGCGCGCCACTCTTTTATTTAGAGTGAACGTTTGTGATCTGAAGCAATAAGTCATAAATCATGACATGCAATATGAATTATAATGCTTTGTGTTATGTGTTTAATAATGCAGAGTATTAATGAATTACAAGAATATATATATGAAATAAATGGATTTTAAACACAAAAGTTATTTATATTCAGTCAATTAAAGAAGTCAAAATATAAATATTCATTTCTACTCTCTGCTCCTTCTAGGGATATTGTTTCAAGATAGTGTTATTTTGTTGGACAGTCTGTTCCCCAACTTTGTCTTTATCCTCTTCAGGGTTAAAAATTAAACCCCCACTCACAATAACTTTTGCTTATACCCCCTTTAACATTTGTAAGCCATGAAAACTCAGTCAGCCACTTGTCATTGAAACCAGAAACATGGTGCTTGCTTTTATCAATTGCTAAAACTTGAGCTTGGTTGGGATTAGGAGAAGCAATGAAATCTGCTTATACTGACAGTGTAGACGGAGGTGTATTCCACTTTTCATTAGAAGTCATTGGTGTGAAAAAAAACTTCTACTTCCATCATCTACCTTTTGCTTATAATTCACCCCTTTGTTATTTGCAGAGAACATGTTCATTCAGAATTAATAAAATCGAATATGGTTAAGATATTTGGAATACAACTTTTTAAAACAATTTTTTTTTATAAATGAACAGCTGACCAGTTTCCGTAGTTTCACATTACGCTTCCGTGCGTATTATTGTGTAATCCTATCTTTGGCAGATAGATATAAACGAAACTTTACAAATTCGTTAAAGTTAAAACCATTGAAATTATTTACCAGTGACATTATACAGAAGCTGCGGCGATTCTGTACCCGTGTTGATTGTCACATATTTCCCGACGCACGGATTCACGATCGATGTTCAATGATCATTTTATTTCTAAAAATATGACAGTTTCAGACGAATTTACCTTGCAAGCAACATTTTTTCACTTTTTATTAAAGTAAATTACTCCTCATTATCTTTAATCAAACTTTATTTTAATTTTTTCAACTACTAATACTTCCATTCATAGTTTTCATCGTAAATATCTTTAGCAATGTGTATTCAAATTTATCATGTGTATTCAACACGTTCATTGGTCGTGTTTAAATAGATTCTTCTTCTTGACCAATGAAAAAAATTCGTTATATAAATGGTCAAGTGATCACACACACGATGCGTAAATACAATGTATTTGCGATCTATTTCTTCAATTTCTGCACTGAAGTTTTTAAAATTTTTAATTTTCTTCAAAAAATATCTATCTTCTTGATGATCATTTACGCTATTACCTGATAACATAGTCCGATAAGGCTGAGATAAGGGTAGCTCAGGTAAAACTAATTATCAGTTATTGCGTAACACTGACCGACCCATCAGCGGTGATCAGTAACTTGACAATTTTAACCAACATTTATAATGAAAATGTGAAAATTAACACGCTGCGGGATCAAGTATCAAGGGACAGCGGCCAATTAAGACGCTGCGGGATCTACAAAAATATTATGAAGGCGCTGCGGCACCGCAGCGTCATATCGGCCTGGGGAGAACACTGACCTAGTGGTGTATTTTTCTGTAAGGCCAAAAAAAAAAAAAATAGGCGTGTTCCTTGTCGCCTGACTTGGCCCTAATTTATAGGTTTGAATATCCCTTTGGTATCTTATGCCTCTCATTTATATAACTTGATAACAGTCATGACAGTGTGCTCATAGTTAGATTGACGAAATGTAACAATAAACCTGATAAACAAATGTCCATGATAGTTGCACACTCAAAAAAATGACTTTCAGCTGTGAATAAATCTTGTCTAATGTCAGTTGAAACACCATATATAACGTAGAATAGAGAATGGAAACTTGGGATGTGTCAAAGAGACAACAATTCGACCAATGAGCATAAAACAGCCCAAAGCCACCAACATGACCAATTGGTCTTCAAAACAGCGAGAAAATCCCACACCAGTGACAGGCTTCAGCTGGCCCCTAAAAAATAATGTGTACTAGTTCAGTGAAATGGCTACACACTTAACTGAATACATACATGTACATAATGTCTGTCAAATTTATCTCATTCAATGTTAGCAACACTAAAGTCTGTCAAAATTTTACGTTAGCAACACTGAAGGCTGTCAGAATCTGAAGTAAATGTGAGCAGCACTGTTCATGTCATGTAGTCCTTTATCACAGTGACAAGACACTAAAACATCTTAAAAAGTAGAAAACTAGAGGTTTTTTGGGCGAAAAGAGATGCACAAGAAGAAGTATGTTGCTATAATAGGCAATCAAAATTCGCAGAAAAGACACTGATATCGTTATTAAATCTGTTGAATTTGAAAACAGTTGTCAACAATGCTGTATATTTGTATGTAAATTCTACTGCCTGACAATCATGAATTTTATCATTTTATTATAAACATGATAAACAAATTCTGTTATGTTGCAGGAGAGAATGTCTGCTAGACAATATTGCAATAAGAATATAAACATGTACTGTGGTGTTGTTCAGCACCAAAAAGAGAAACAGGATCTCAAAGCATTTAAAAATGAAGGTTTTCTGCTTTTAGGTATAGAATAACCACATGCATGTGACATGGACCTCCTTCTTTTTTTTTTTGGGGGGGGGGGGGAGTACATAATTGGGTTTTAAGGGATTTCTTGTGAAGACTATTTTCTAAATTAAGGAGGCAATAAAGATCCTTGAAACAGAGAGACAAGACAACACATGTACAATGGCTTAAAGAAAAAAGATGAAGTACCAATGATACAGTTCTGAGACAAAATAAGACTCAAGAACAAACGATTTAGCCATAGTAATTCCATTAAAACAAAGGATACTTCTTTGATTCCAGTCATGTATTGACAGCAGATTGGAAAATTTTACTCATCTAGTTTTATTTTCAGAGGAGAATCATAAATAAAATGGCAGTACAAGTACATGCAACAGACATGAAAGATGCCTCACTGACAGAATTAGAAGTGCAGATGAAGAAGGCGTCCCCTGAAAAATGTATCTCACTCTCCCACAGTTCACCATCAGTTCAGATGTTCTATGCCTTGAGAACATGTCTAGAGACCTGTAGTGATGCCTGGCTACATGAATTCCTAGAACTAGATGGATTAGAGAGTTTGTTGGACTCGCTGATTCAGATGACAGCTAAAGGCTTCACCAGTTTCTCTGATGCCATTCATCAGCTAGACTGTCTGGCTTGTGTTAGGGCTATATTGAATACCAACACAGGACTTGACTTCATGGTTAGACATGATATGTACACACCAAAATTATCTTTAGGTAAATACATTTCTAGCTTGGGTCTGGGCTTTAAACAGGATAAAACTAAAATTGAATAGGGCATACACCTATTTGTTGTACGATAACATTAATTTTCGTCTGATGTTTCTAACTTCTATTAAAACATCAAGAAAATATTGCCAGCATTTATTATTGGCATCCATTTTCAGATCTGTCGGATATATTTGTCTTATTTTCTGATACTTTAAATTCAATTGGGGTATGCTTAGCACAACAATGTGTGCAACTTTTGGTCTTAAGCTGTCGTGCAGTCTGCTAAGTTTCATAAGAAATAATTGAAAAAATCTTATGAGTTAAAACACTCGTAAGTCATGAACATTTCAATATCAATTTTAGTTGTAAGATTTTTTGTGAAAAGAGCACCAGATATTAGAGTAAAGTCCTTTCTGTAAAAACATGTAAAAGAATTTTCTAATTGTTCAATGCTAAATCATATGACTGGTCTATACGGTAAATTTAAAACAATTTTTTGTTTGTTTGTATTGCAGCCCTGAATATTGGGAACACTTTACCAAGAAAGCATGTGATAGAGATGTTATCAGCTATATGTGTGTACAATAACCTGGGATACCAGAGTGTTCTTAATGCACTCAATTATTTTAAGGTTAGAATTATGGGGAACAAATGTATGTTTCCTACTGAAGTAGGATAAACGCTAGATCCTGTAGGTTGGCAAATATTTTATATCCAACCAAAATTTTGTCTGATGATAACTATATGCATATTCAATATAGACTCTAAGGTGCATATTTAAAAATATAATATTTATAAGCAGTGAAATATTTTTGAAAAAAAAACAACCTGAAATTTAAAAAATTAAAAAGTAATGAAAAATTTAGACAAGGAAATGTTAAATTTTCCAAAGGAGAAGCCAAAAAAAAAAAGGCATTAATTTTTATATCATAGCCACTTGCCAGCATTACAGGCATGCATGGAGTAAGAAATAGCTTTTATTATATCTTAAACAAGGAATTATTTGAAGCTGGAATAATTTGGAATTCTGGAAAATTGAAATGTATGATGAAAACTAACCCAATTTAGGATGCATGCATGGCTGAAGGGCGTTAGTTCATACTGAAATATCAGTGAAAGTAAAATTAACCTTAGCCGTGCACTCATGGCTAACCCTCTTTAGTTTGGTTAGTTTTTATCAAACGTGTCAAACATTTCTTATCAATTTTCCAGAATTCAAAATTATTCCAGATTCAAATAATTCCTTAGTTTGTTCCTAGCAAAAAGTGGGTATCATGTTTTCCAGTCTATACAGTATGTCCATTTGTAAGTCCCATATCAGGTTGATTTTTCATTTAAGGTAGTTTATCATGAACATGGTGAAGCTGTCATTACATAAAAGTATAACATAACACACGGTGACATACATGAAAATAATGTGTGTGGTATGAATACCAATATTCACCAGAGATCAATGGACATAGATGTAAGCAGTTATAGGTCACTGGAAAGCCTTCAAAAATGAGCAAACTAATATCGTATAGTCAACTACATATATAAAAGGCCCTGACATGTTCATGTTCATTATACATATTCATTTTGATGTGGACTTTTTAGCTCACCTGGCCCGAAGGGCCAATTGAGCTTTTCTCATCACTTTGCGTCCGTCGTCTTCGTCCGTCGTCGTTAGCTTTTTACAAAAATCTTCTCCTCTGAAACCACTGGGCCAAATTTAACCAAACTTGGCCACAATCATCATTAGGGTATCTAGTTTAAAAAATGTGTCCGATGACCCCGTCAACCAACCAAGATGGCCTCCATGGCTAAAAATAGAACAGAGGGGTAAAATGTAGATTTTGGCTTATATCTCTGAAACCAAAGCATTTAGAGTAAATCTTACATGGGTAAAACTGATTATCAGGTCAAGATCTATCTGCCCTGAAAATTTCAGACAAATCTGCCCCTGAATTGGTAATTTTAAGGAAATTTTGCAGTTTTTGGTTATTATCTTGAATATTATTATAGATAGAGATAAACTGTAAACAGCAATAATGTTCAGCAAAGTAAGATCTACAAATAAGTCACCATGACCAAAATTGTCAGTCGACCCCTTTAGGAGTTATTGCCCTTAATAGTCAATTTTTAACAATTTTTGGTAAATTTTTGTAATCTTTTACAAAAATCTTCTTCTCTGAAACTACTGAGACAAATTTAACCATACTTGGCCATAATCATTATTAGGGTATCTAGTTTAAAAAATTTGTCCGATGACCCCGCCTTCCAACCATCATGGCCGACTTGGTTGAAATTAGAACATAGGGGTAAAATGCAGTTTTTGGTTTATATCTCTGAAACTAAAGCATTTAGAGCAAATCTAACAGGTGGCAAAAATGTTCATCAGATTTAGATTTATCTGCCCTGAAATTTTCAGACGAATCCGACAACCCGTTGTTAGGTTGCTGCCCCTGAGTTAGTAATTTTACAAAAATTTTGCAGTTTTTTGTTATTATCTTAGATATCATTATAATATCTAATATCTAACACTATTTATTATGGTTTTAACCTTATTTTACATGATTTCCAAAGCATCAGTAAATACAGGTGAGCGACACAGGCTCTTGAGAGCCTCTAGTTGAAATATATAGCAGATTATGGTTTTGACGCAGACATTGGGGTTCACTGAACATGGAAATGTGATAGTGGGAGGGCCAAGTGTGAATTGGACACATATGTTCTTGTTTATTCCTTTTTTTGACAAAGTAAATGATTTGCCTTTTATAGAAAGAAACCGATCAGACAAACAGATTCAGTGTCATAGTCAATGATTTGAAGACAGCTGAGACAGTGCAGCATAAAACAGCTCTGATGACCCTGATTAACTGTATAATAAACACAACACCAGACACTGTAGAAAGAAATAGGATAAGAAATGAATTTATTGGTATGTAGTGCTCAATAAAAAATATATAATGGCACAAGTACACATTACATAAGAATAGGCTTTGACCTTGAAAATGTCACAAAATGCAGATAGTGCAAGGTGTCAACTCTTTGCTATTTATTTCAATGATACTAATAAACTTGCCAAAGGCTTGTTAATATATTAGAATTAAATAACTAGTTGATGAGCAATATCAAATTCTCACTCGTCGCGAAACTAGGATTAATTTTCCGCTAAAATAAACCTTTCATGATATTGCCTATTTATATTTTCAATCTCTTTTATATGCTTTCAAGTATGATCAATATTTTGAGAATTCTCTATAATGTGTAATTATAGTTGACCTTAGAGTAAATACTAATAGTAGAGGAATAAGAAATAACAAATCACTTAACTCCAAGGTATTATTGAAAGAAAACAGGGTCCATTTATAATGGATAATTTTAGGGAAAATCTCATCAAATGTATCGTCTATGAACAATTGACAATGGAATTTCATTGTCTTGACTTGGTACAGGAACTTATCAAATAAAATATTGGGCACACAAACATTTTCCTTATGACATATTGTTGAACACATGATTTAGGAGAAAGATAAAAAAAACTTATCCAGGAAAGTTCAGTTATTTATAAGAACGAATTAAAAATATGAAAACCCTAGTGCTGTCAAACTTCGAATTTTTTAACTGCAAATGTTTCTTTCTGTAGTTTATGTTCTAGGATCAGGTTGATATTGACTCTATAATAAAAAAGTTATCAACCTTTAACCTTTTATTTGCATAGGTTTACATCTATTGGACATTCTTACTTTCCTAAGGAAGGAAGAAGCAGATGATGATCTACATTTACAGCTTGAGGTAAGAGAGCACTTATTCATGCTGACAGCTCAGTAAAGTTTACATTTATTTTCATCTACTAAATCTTACTATGTTTTATTAAACTATCTATTACAAATTTTCTTAGGAATATTTAATAAAATTGTCTCATATAAAAACTTTGAATGTATTCTCTTGAAATATTTTTGTTTAACTTTCCTTCATTTTAAGATATATTGCAGGTATTCCATGATAAGAAACATGAAGATGAAGAAATCCTTAATCAGGAAACTAACATAGACTTCAATAGTCCTGAAGATCTGATTGATGATATACAGAGTAAGGTATGTCAGGAAACTAACATAGACTTTAACAGTCCTGAAGATCTGATTGATGATATACAGAGTAAGGTATGTCAGGAAACTAATGTAGACTTTAACAGTCCTGAAGATCTGATTGATGATATACAGAGTAAGGTATGCCTGGAAACTAACATAGACTTTAACAGTCCTGAAGATCTGATTGATGATATACAGAGTAAGGTATGTCAGGAAACTAATATAGACTTTAACAGACCTGAAGATCTAATTGATGATATACAGAGTAAGGTATGGCATGAAACTAATATAGACCAATCTGTAAATTCAGACATTTTTTTTGTGATGTTTTTATTACAAAAACTGAAACAGGAAGTGTTTAGCAAAAGTGAAAATGCATATTTTTTAATTAAATAGAATTTTGTAAATGCAACATTCCATGAATTCATATTAATGAATCTTGCATTCAAGTCAATTGTTCAACAAATACATTAAAAAACGTATGCAAAATATTTAAATTTATATTTAGTATGCAGATATTATGATGTTGCCATTAAACTGGATTTTAGTTGTATAGTCAAAAAGATCTGGTTGATAATTTACATAGAAAAGTTTGCAATGCAATGCAAGACACCATATTTACATAGACTTCAAAACTTATGAAGATCTGATCAATGCTGTAAGGTGTACAAAAAGTAATATATTCAGGAATCTAACATACAGGTAGATACAGTCAATGCTGTACAGACATAGATTAGCATGAAATATAATATTAGACAAAAGACTAGATTTTTGGGACAGAAATGTCAATTTTAAGGAAATTAATGGTATTAATGAGTTGTTAGTTGTGGTTTTTTTTTCCTGTAATAAAAGCAATGGCTGAACCTCCAAAAGTTGAACAGGACATAACTACAAAAGTTTATTGTATACCCTTTTTTTTTGTCAGCTGTTACATTAATGGTAGTCATGTTATTATATTGATATGAAACAATTTATATTTACAGATATTTGGAACATCTAAGATGGTATCATTTGTAAACATTTTACAAGATCTGTTGTCAATAGAAACTGTTTACAGCAAGAATGCGTATGTATTGTAGATAAAATTTTCAATCAATTCAAACATAATTAAAAACTGGAAGTATATTCCATGTAGTGTTGTTTGTGACTTGTCCAGTTGATACTTAAATTTATTTGTGTTACTTGATATTTCTTTTAAATAGAATTACAATATAAAGATAAGAAGATGTGGTATAATTGCCAATGAGACAACTCTCCACCACAGACCAAATGACGTAGAAGTTAACAGCTTCCCTTTGTTACTTAATGAAAAAAATGAGTTTAAACTTTATTTTCTGTCTGCCAACCAAACATGCAGAGTATCTTTTATCTATTATTAAGGCCAACTAATTAATTGGAAGAAGGCTTGTAATAATCAGCTTATCCAGCAGGTTGTCTGTCACAAATTTTTTCAACAGTATAATTTTAAAACTTTTTTGAGTTGGGTATGTTGTGTACAAGGAAGAAAAATCTACATTTAAAGTCATTGCCAAAAATGTCAAAATCAACGTAGCCACATTTGTACAAAAATATTGCTCTCTAACTTTAGAACCTTTTGAGTTTAGTTGTACAATTCACTAAAAACTTACAGATGTTATTCTTCTGACATTTTAATGATACATTAGAAAATAGTGAAATTATTTTATAAACATTGATATCAGTTTATATGTAGTTCAATATTGTATTCCATATGTTTGTAACCCAGAAACATACTTATTTTCTATATGCTATTGTTTGTTTGTTTAGGTCTAAAATATGGAAGACAATTGATAACCTTGTCCATCAGACTGTCCACTCGTGTGATGTTCATGTCAGTACTAATACATGTGATGCACCAGACACTGTTCTAGATACACTGCCTGAATCTCTACACAAAAGTATCCAATACATTAAAAACTTCCAAGCACGGACAGCCTTATCTACACAGAAATCTAAATCTATATGTTTAACGGATAATGATACTGGGGTAGAATTAACACATAACAAGGATACTATTTCTAATGAATTAACCAAAGTAGCAGAAATGATGGAATATATGGACCAATCACAATATGATAATCTGTTTCTGGATGTCAAAGACATAAGTACAGACACACCCACAAATAAGTCAGCTCTCCAGAGGAGGTACAGAATACAGAAGAGAAATGTACCAAAACCAAAGAAAAAGATGAAAAGTTGTCAGTGGGTGAAACTTCCTGATGAATCTGTAGGTAGGTACAAAAAATTATTACTTTATATATTTTATCGCAAAGGATAAAACCTTTCATGAGAATCAGTTGGTGTTTGTCAATGTATTTAAGTTTTTGGAAGGTAAACTGTCCCATTGAATAATGACAATAGCTGTTTTCCTCATATGAACAATGCTAATTCATATGGATTGAAATTCTAGATTGAAAAGATGCATAGAATACCATGTGATAGACTGATCATACGTCAAAGTAACAGTCAGGGATTCAAAACTACATAGATCCAGGGTTCAAAACCTATTTTTTTTAGTAAAAGAACCATTGAGAAGTTTGATGGATTTTTGTAATAATTCAGATGTCAGAAAAATAAGAATACTATTAAACTTTCTATGTTAGATTTACTTAAAATTGATAGATTGATCTTTCATAAGGAATGTTGTAAGGAGTTTTAAGAATCTAAATATGAAGGTCCAAGACCTTAAATCAATAGACAAAAAAGTCAACAATAGAATACCTTTTATTCATTAAATTTTTTTATCTTCTGTTTTTGTCGAGCCTGCAACTTTTGTCGCAGAAAGCTCGACATAGGGATAGTGATCCGGCGGTGGCGGCGTTAGCTAACTTCTTAAAATCTTTATATTTTAGAAGGTGGAAGGTCTGGATGCTTCATACTTTGTATATGGATGACTCATGTTACGAAGTTTCTGTCAGTCACATGTCCAATGTCCTTGACCTCATTTTCATGGTTCAGTGACTACTTGAAAAAAAAGTTAAGATTTTTTGTAATGGTCAATTCTCTCTTATTATAAGTAATAGGATAACTATACTTGGTATGTGCGTACCTTGCAAGGTCCTCATGCCCGTCAGACAGTTTTCACTTGACCTCGACCTCATTTCATGGATCAGTGAACAAGGTTAAGTTTTGGTGGTCAAGTCCATATCTCAGATTCTATAAGCAATAGGTCTAGTATATTTGGTGTATGGAAGGACTGTAAGGTGTACATGTCCAACTGGCAGGTGTCATCTGACCTTGACCTCATTTTCATGGTTCAGTGGTTATAGTTAAGTTTTTGTGTTTTGGTCTGTTTTTCTTATACTGTATGCAATAGGTCTACTATATTTGGTGTATGGAATGATTGTAAGGTGTACATGTCTAGCTGGCAGGTGTCATCTGACCTTGACCTCATTTTCATGGTTCAGTGGTCAAAGTTAAGTTTTTGAGTTTTGGTCTTTTTTTCTAATACTATATGCAATAGTTCAACTATATTTGGTGTATGGAAATATTTTATGATCTATTTGTCAGTCACGCAGGTTTTTTTTTTACCTTGACCTCATTTTCAAGGTTCATTGCTCAGTGTTAAGTTTTTGTGTTTTGGTCTGTTTTTCTTAAACTATAAGCAATAGGTCAACTATATTTGTTGTATGGAAGAATTGTTAGCTGTACATGCCTGCCTAGCATGTTTCATCTGACCTTGACCTCATTTTCATGGTTCATTGGTCAATGTTTAGTTTACTTGGTGAATGTTAAGTTTATGTGACAGTTGTAATAAAGCTTTATATTTAGGACTATCAACATAATATCAATGATTAGTAAAGAAGGCGAGACATTTCAGCGTGTGCACTCTTGTGAAATTTTAAGAACACTTTGAGTCGGACCCATCATCTGTAAAGAAAGGACAAGGTTCACTTTTGCTAGAATATGGCCTTGAATTTCAACTTTACTATGATTTATCTTAAAGGTCTCATTTTTGTTTTTTTATGGATATATTACAAAAGCCTAAATGCCATTTGGAACAGATTTCTTCATAACGGTCCATTATAGGCCTACTCCTTTTGCTTGTCAATCAAGAATTATTGTTTGAAATGGATAAGGTCTGTGGATCAAGGGTCAGGAAACGGTCATATTTGCCAGTCATGTCCTAAACTGAAAGTATTTGTCCTAAATGAGTAATTGGGATTTAGGACAAATTTCATTTTTTAACAGAAATAATTTCGGTCATTTCATTGACTCAATGTTTGCAATCGGATTTCTTAATCGCCATTTTGCACTTGTGATCACTTGTTTTTGTTAATAATCCCTTTCCTGTAATAAAACTGCCACTCCAGTGGTGTCTTCCTCCTATTCCCACTTTTTAAAAATAACTATTCCTTCTATTCCCACATGCAAATAACAATAGATGTTTTGATAAACAATTTGTTTTTATAACAATCAAGGTTAATTAAAAATTCACCTTAGATTCACCTGTATTTTTTAAAAGAAAACATATTTCTTACACTGTTTAAGTATAATATTATTAAAAAAAAATTTAATACAGTTTATTTGTAATATGTTTTTTCTTCTTCAATGGCATTGAATTACTTAAAAAATTAAAAAATAAGTAAGATTTAAAAAAATCATTGAATTTGTAAACTTTAAATATTGTCATCCGAACAAATAAATTGATGATAGATAATATTATAAAACTTTCCCAACAAACGCAAGCAGAACCTACCAGTTTTACCAAAAACTGTTGATGAAATCAACATAGATGGTATTTGGGCACGTACTTCCAAAGGTGACCCATTTCTGCTTACAGACGACAACACAGTTTGGCGTTTGTTAATCTTCAGTACTCAAAAGAATCTAACACACTTAGCAGCTGCAGATATCATATATGGTGATGGTACATTTTACTCCTGTCTGAGCCTTTTCTTCCAACTTTACACATTTCACGCAATGGTTGACTGCGCAATGTATCCACTGGTACACAGTTTACCTTCAGCCAAGAGCGAACTAGTATACACAAGGTTCATGACTTTACTCAAAGATGTATGCCACCAACTACAACATGTACAACTTCAGCCTACCACTATCTTCCTGCACTATGAAGTCGCCATTCGAAATGCAGCATATTCTGTATTTCCTGGAATCAACTCAAAAGGCTGTTTTTTTCCACTACACACAATGTATCTGAGAAAAGCACAAGAAACAGGCATTCAGGTTCCATACAAGAAAGACAACAAAATTCATCAACTTGTACGCTGTGCCTCTGTCCTTCCACTTGTACCTACTGCTGAAGTCGAAGGTGTGTGGTTTAATGCCCTAACCGACATAGATCAGATTGATACTAGCATCAACTACACGCCCTTTACAGACAATGTAACAACATACTGGGTCGAACAGAACAGTCACCTTTGGAACATGTCCAGCAACCATATCCAAACATCTTTAAACTCATAAAACTACTGAAACATGATGAAGCTTTCAACGCCCTGACCATGATCCAGTATGCAGCCGGTAGGAAGAGAGTGACCCAAAAACGAAAGTATGTAGAAATCAACAACAGATAAGAAGAGCTTAAGCCAGTATAGTTAGATAATCCTGAGGGCCCTCCTAATAACTATATCAATGCCTTCGGGAACATTGGCTAATGATCAGTAATTACTTTTTACCTGAGTTTTTAATTCACACCTGACATTGATCACAAGCTCAGAATAATATCTTAAAGAAATTAAAATTCCCTGACAAGTGTATTCATTATTTAATTACTTTTCAGCAAAGACAATCATCAATTCTGATTTAAAATTAAACCTTAATCATGTTAATTTTATCTAAGTAGAAAAAAGTCTTTTTTCATGTGTAACACATATGCTTTATTTACTATGTAATACGCATGCATGAAGTTGTCTTCAGCAAATTAAATATTCAATCGTAAAATGCAAATTGATTTCATGCTAAAGTAAACGAATGCAACTATTATCTGTTATATTCAAACACTTTTAAAGGTAATAAAATTAAAAAGTCGGTGATTTCCTGTCAATTTGATAAACAAAACGAATCCCGGAAATGAATCCGGAATTTTCCGTACTTTAATATTATCTTTAACTTCCGGTTTTAATTTGGTCAAATCGAAAGAAACGGTTGCAATGTCTGAGAAATTAACCATTTTGAGTCATTAAAATCATTTTTATTTTAAACTGTTGAATTCCCTTAACTGTTCTTGAAGGTTTTTAGAAAAATGATAAGAAATTTACTTGTAGTAAATGCGATGAAACAGCAATTCAAGTTCGTTGATGCTATGAATCTAGTTTGACATCGACATTGATGACGACATTTTGAAAAGGGGCACCAACTTTTCAATCATCTAAAAATGACCGAAATTGTGTGAAAAAATTTCCGGATCCTTGCTGTGGATTAAATGTTATTCGCAGGATACCAATTTTCATGGATATAGGTTAACCACATATTTATAGGTTCAAAGAAGTGCAAATTATCTAATGGCTGGTGTACAGACTTTGACAAAATCACAAAATCAAATATCCTTTTTAATTAATCGATGAAAATTGCTATCAACAAAAATAAATGAATCCACAGCATCACATAATGGGTTGAATATCTTTCAAAACACTGTCAGCTGTTGCTATGAAAACAGTAGAGACATGTTCAAATAATTACAATAATGTGCATTCCTTTCTGGTGATAATTCACTGACACCATATGTTATTTAAAAAATGCAAAATCCCCAATTGCCACAAGAAATAATTGAGCATCAGTCAGTTGCGCATTGAACCTTTAAAAAATATAAGGAATTTTTTTTATTATTTTTTAGATAGATTTGGAGAGTGTATTTGGTTATCATCAGCTGTTTCCAGAAGAATTTTACCAGATTACAGTCAATTAGAGAGATTGTTTCAATCATCAGAGAATATAGTACAGGAGCAAAGTGAAGTAAGAAATGTCTATAAACATGTAAAATACAGTTACTGTGGATTCATTTGTTTTCGTGGATAGAGAAAAAAAGACACTTCGTGGTATACGTAAATTCGCTGTTTAAAAAAAAAATGTTTCAGACACATAAATTCATGTATCTGTGTTTGAAAAATGATAAAACAAAAGATAGAAATTCATTGAAAATGGTTTGAATTGTGATAATCATAGCTTTTAAATTCGTGGTTTGCTGTGACCCATGAAACCCACGAAAATTGGTATACCACCAAAAAAAAAAAGATTCCACAGTATTCCAAATATTTATACCTATAGTTGTTTTCTGGGTTAGGTCTATTTGACAGTTCTTTCATATTTGGCATAAAATTTGTATGGGTTACTCCATTAAAATGTAAGTGGGAGGGTAGGGATTTTCAAAATATCCCTATAAGGGATCATAGATTTATTCTTACGAGCAAGCTCCGAGCATGCTCGGAGGATGCTCGGAGCTTTTTAAGTAGGCTCTTCTCAGCAGTTAATGTGACAATAATTATCATGATCCATTAAGATGTCAATCAAATCTACACTACTTCTATGATAAGGAAAGTAGAGCATTATAGAGGAAGCTCCATAAACACCTTTGTAAACATCTGGTCTATTCAATTACATTTTGCATGAAACTTTACAAAACTATAAAATAGGTTAGAAATTCTTCAACAGTGCTGTGTAATGCTTGGAAAGAAATCTCAAGTCTCCACAAAAAGTAAAAGTCATTTAAATATTTTCTTATTATATTTAATAATCATTCTTTTTTTTATAATAAAAAAATTCTTAAATTTTATAATTAGATGATATGATTTAAAAATAGTTTGATCAAGATTCAAATTATAAATAACTTCAAGTCTTAATCAAAGGTTCCATATCTAGTTATAACTGTCTATCTCTAAGATTTTAAATAGTTTTACCAGTTTATTTCATGGGGAAAATAACCAGATGTCTGTGAAAAGTTGTTAAAGCTAGTAAAACCTGTATGAATGGACACCCATAAAAATAATATTAACAGAAGTTACTTATTCATGATATAGAATTAATATTTGAAACAGCCTCGTTTTCAACATAAGTTGTATAGGTAATTTTGAAAATTACTTGTTTAAGTAATGCCCTTAACTAAACATTTGGTAATATGTTTTTTTTAAATAGCAAACTAAGCTCTTTTATAGAAAATTATGGCTACTTTAAGAAAAGTTGTAATTCATTAGTGGAAGCTTGGTTTGAGGGGGTAATACCACCATTGTTTTCCCTCTAGTACGTCTCTCTTTACTTGGCATTCTTTTTTTAATTGTGCAGATTTAGCTTTGTTTTAAATAAAGAAATACTTGGCATGAGTAAAATTATTTTCCCCCTATAAGTCTTTGTTTAATTGTCATGATTGTTATATTTCAAAAAAAATGTGCAGAATTTATCTATGTTTTAAATAAAAAAATACTCGACATAAATAAATGTCCTGTACTACAGTGAAAATATAGCATAACTTTTCAGTGCATATAAGAAAGTAAACATCACCAGAAGTTAACCAATCAAATTCTCTCCCCCTTTTTTCCCTGTAGAATATAGTATATTTTTATTGCTTTGAAACACCCAAGAAACATGTTTACGACTCAAAAAAACTTTTCTGCAATGAAATGGAGGGTTAATTTCAAACAACTGTCAAATTAAATGGAATATAAAAAAAGATCAACCCTTTCATTTTTCCTTTTTCGCATGAAACTGAATGTACTATGTTTTGGTAGTATGGTTATAAATCAATTACCATAGTTTGTGTCTTTGATGACTTTTATATTTCATTTTATATAGTATAAATTTAAAATATATTTATATTTCAAATATAAAATTTGAGTGTTTTTTTGTATCATGTGTATTGAAAAAGAATAATTATTAAGAAAATGTTTTAAAATCATTTTCCTTCTGTGAAGACTTGATACCAAGCATTGTACAGTAATATTGAAGAATTTCTCATCTATTTTATAGTTTTGTAAAATTAATGCAAGATTTGTTTGAATAGACCAGGTGTTTACACAGGTGTTAATGGAGCTTCCTCTATAATGCTCTACTTTCCTTATTATAAAAGTGCAATAGATTTGATTGACATCTTAATGGATCATGAAAATTATTGTCACATAAACTGCTGAGAAGAGCCTACTTAAAAAGCTCCGAGCATCCTCCAAGCATGCTCAGAGCTTCCTCGTAAAAATAAATCTATGATCCCTAACCAAGAACCATTTTTTAGATAATTTTGCATAATGGTAATAGATGCATACTGAAAAAAGACCCATGACCCAAGGCTTCCAAAACGGTCATATATGCCGGACATTTGTATAATGTCCGGTAAAAGTCCGGCTGGGCAAAGCATGAAACGGTCATCTACTTTTTAGTTTTCAAGGCTTTAAGAGACGGTCATTTTAACATAATTCGCGATCTTTTTGACCCAACGTTTTGCCTTTAACAGCCACACATTTCCGGTCATAAAAGTGACATGATCATTAAGTACTATCAAAACAACCCCTACTTTAATACCTTCTCATTTTAATCAAGGCTAATTAGTTGTCAAACAGCTGAAATTTACCTGTTCAGGTGACAGGTAAACTATTTTGAACCGGACATTGATCGGTCAATTTTCTTACATTTCAGCGGTTTGCATCTAATTAATTTAGTCAAAAGTTTTAAATTATCAGAAATACGTTTACAAATATGATTTGATGAAAAAATTAAAAAGGTGAAAATGAAAAATCATCATAACCACGTTGTTTGAACCTAGAGACATGTCTCTGTTTGAACTAGTACATGTGTGCGCATGTGCCCAGGTGTGAAATTTAATTATGCATCCTAATTTCTTCAAAAAATGCTTAAATTGTCATTGATACCTTTATCTCACGTTTATTTCGAATATTTTCTTGAAGAAATAACGTAGAAAGAGCTACTTCCACTCATTCACGCTTTGCAAATGTACACAGAATTTACGTATCCGTCTCTGGTCCATGTTTTACCATTGTCAAGATAACATCCGGTATAAAAATGAAAGTAAAGTTTTTGACAACGTTATTTTGCATAAATAAAGAGTCTTAGGCAGATATAAGTACGCTGATGTTGCACACTTCGAATGATGCACTGCCAATTTAACAGTTTACGTCAGAACTTCGAATTTGAATCAAAGAAAGTTTAATATCGGTTTTTTTTAATGTCAATCATTGGGATGGCCAACTCGGCAACTGATTACCATAATTGCCTTTTGTTTATTTAGTCTTAAGGGATTAAAATCGGGATAATATATAAAATGTCAGGCTGGCTAAAAATAATTTTGGAAGCCCTGCCATGACCCACATTCAATAATTAAACTTCTCTTCCCACCCTCCCACATACATTTTAATTGAATAGCCCTCATAAAAGAAATGTGAATGTGTGACATTTAAAAATTTATGTTGATGAAACAAGTTAATAATGTACTGCATCTGTTAATGTACATTCATTTTCAGATAGTTCTATTGAACTCAAAAAGTAGAAGAAATATAAATCTGTTCCTGAGTCGTATGGAGATTGGACCAGAGGAGCTGATACAAGGGTTAGAGCTAGAGAATGAAGACAGCTGTGATATATCATTACCAACACTACAGTACCTGGTTAAAGTATTACCTGAGAGAGAAGAGGTAGAACAACTATTTGTATCTTAGAATAAAATAGTGCAAAAGAGAATGGTGATACATTAAAAGGATAAGCAAAATCAGCAAAAATACTGGGCAGTACAATAGACCACAATTTAACCACCAAGACCTGAATGAATGACTTCTGTAATTTGATTATTGCAAATTCCTTAGAAACCATAGTAGAATCACTTCAGTGTATTGCTTATTTTTGATTATTTTCATATTCAATTTTTAAACACAAATCTGTATGAAATTGTTCATTACTTCTGCTGTTTGTTAACTTGAAATTGTTTGACCTGAGACAAGTATTTTCTAAATTGAATTGTGCTATGTATAGTTATTAATTCATTTTGTTTACTAAGTACCTTAGGGTTTATTTTAGAAGTATCTTAAAAGCCATGGAAATAAAAAAATTGAAAGGATATTTCCCATTATTTCCAAATTGGGAATGATCAAATTTGTACTTTTTCTCCAATATTCTTTAGATAAATGATTATATGTTCCTGTTTGCTAGCAATGGTATATCTAGGTGAATTTAAAATTCAGTTTCTCTGTTAATTACACATTTTATTTGCTTTTACAGATAGGTATGTTATTGAGTTATGAAGGAAGACGTCTGGAGTTAGGCATGGCTGAACAGTTTATTCTCATGTTAGCAGATATCCCTGACTTTGAAATTCTGATTGAAGGTCATTTAATGATGGCAGAGTATAACAAAAGTATGGAAAGACTGAAGAGATCACTTAATATGATGGTGGATGTCAGTAAACTTATACTCGAAAATCCACATCTCAAGGAATTCTTCCATTTCCTATTGAATGCAGGCAACTTTCTGAATCATGTAAGATTTTATTGCAATTGTATATTTTTGTTACATACTTCAAATTCACACACTAACATTATGGTAAAAAAGTGTTGAATATTTTTATCCAAACTCTGTCTATGGGGAATAATAGATGGACTATATAAATAGATAATTTCGGAATAGCTTGCAATTTATATGTACTAATCTTAAATTGCTTTAATTGTTGACAATAGAATCTATAAATATTCCAGTTGTGTGGATCATACCCCTGACTTTATTTAGGGGAGAGAGGATGTAAAGGTATATAATAATCACCCTGTCCATTCGTCATTTATTTGTCTGTTCATGCATGTGCCTTTTAAGCCTAATAGGATAAACTGGTATTGATGAAAAGTTTAAACAGTATTAGAACAGTACCTGAGGTTGTGCCTTAAGGAATATAAGCCTTGTCCATAGGATGTGCATTAAGGAATATAAGCCTTGTCCATAGGATGTGTATTAAGGAATATAATCCTTGTCCATAGGATGTGCCTTAAGGAATATAATCCTTGTCCATAGGATGTGTATTAAGGAATATAATCCTTGTCCATAGGATGTGTATTAAGGAATATAATCCTTGTCCATAGGATGTGCATTAAGGAATATAACCCTTGTCCATAGGATGTGTATTAAGGAATATAATCCTTGTCCATAGGATGTGTATTAAGGAATATAATCCTTGTCCATAGGATGTGTATTAAGGAATATAATCCTTGTCCATAGGATGTGCATTAAGGAATATAATCCTTGTCCATAGGATGTGTATTAAGGAATATAATCCTTGTCCATAGGATGTGTATTAAGGAATATAATCCTTGTCCATAGGATGTGTATTAAGGAATATAATCCTTGTCCATAGGATGTGCATTAAGGAATATAATCCTTGTCCATAGGATGTGCATTTAAGGAATCTATATAATCTTTGTCCATCATATTAAAGGGGAGATAATGGAATTAACCTTAATCAGTGTATTAAAAGTATTGTGTGGCAGGGGTATTTTTTGTGAGTTCTATTGCAGTTCTAAACTATATTGTAGGACTATGTACAAGGAGAAGCAGCAGGGTTTAAGCTATCTAGCCTGGACAGAATGGTAGACGTGAAATCATTGACAGCCAATCATTCGTTTCTCCACTACATGATCAAGATGGCACAGGATCTTGACAACACACTATTAAAGTTCCTCCAAGACTTCCAGTCATTGGATAAGGTTGCTAGGTATAATAGTATGATATACTGACACATCCAACATAGAAAGTTGGAGTTATATTCTTTTGTCTATAATAGCAGTTGAACCAACTACCATTATGGAATCAAAATCGTAGTATTGCTTTCCAATACTTGCAAAAATTCAATGTTTAATTCTTAGTTCCTACTGCAAAATGAATGCATTCTTTACCCTTCAGAGTTTGATTATAGTCTGTTTGACTTGTATATAGTTGCAGCAAAAAATTCTTAAAAATCCATTTTTTCAAATCATTATTTTTTTCTTGATGTATGTTGATATATGATATATACAAACTCTAACTATTAATTCATAATTTTTGGTAAAACTTAATAAGTCAAAGTTCGTATATATATCATATATTAACATACATCAACAATGATCAAGAAAAAAAATAATGATTTAAAAAATGGCTTTTTTATAAATTTTTTCTGCAAATATATAGAAGTCAAACGGACAATATTTATTATTATAATTTTTTATGTTTTTAGCACATCACTGAATGATTTAAGGAGAGATATAAATAGTTTCAGTAAACAGATGTGTAGATTTATACAACATCTTCAATTGGCTGATCACAAACTGAAGGACAAGTTCAACAAATTTATAGAGGTAATATTTGTAATGCTAGGAAGTGGACACTTTACTATTTAATTGTTATTTTTTTGCCCTTTAATTTCTGAAATTTTTCATGGAAACCAGCATGATTTATGAGTTCACATTTCTAAATCGGGTCTTATTTCATTATGATTTTCTGGAATTCAACAAGCTCTTTAGGAAAGCTGTAGATCTTGGAACAAAGGACTGACTTCAATTTCCAAAACTGTTCATTGTCATGAATTGTTTCATTTACATATTCATATATGAACAAAACTGATGCTGTTTATCTTTTATTTCCTGGGTCAAATTAACTCCTCCTTGTCCGTTTTTGTCATCAAAAATACTTTTTTGGTTTTTTTCTTTTTATTAAAAGGGTTTTTAAAAATTAGCATAAGCATATGATAAAGATATCTTTATTGCCCCCTGCGTAACACGTTGAGGGGGACATGGAAATACTGGGCGTCCGTCTGTCTGTCCCTCTCACGGGTTCAATTCTTGCCCGATTTTTATAAAACTTATAAAATAGCTTAATATCAGCAATATCTCAGACAAGTTCTATAATGGTGGCCGTTCGACTTTTTTAAAAGAGTTATGTCCCTTGGAAATATTAAATTTATGGAAAATGGCCTTGTTAGCGCTACAAAAAAAAAGTGTTTTATTTAGTTATTGCCCTTGTACCTTGGATAGATAAAATATGTGCAAAGTGGGGGACATTGGAACTCTGTTCTTTTATTGGGGTATTGATTTTCTTTAATGGTTACCCCTTGTTATTAGGTTGCTTTCTCTTCAATGTTTACCCCTTCTTCATAATGGTTGTTACTTTTTCCCCAGTTAAAATCTTTAAGATGACCACATGTTTTCTTTTCCTTTCAGACTGTGAGAGCAGAACTGATCATCATACAAGCCACAACACTACAGTTAAGGAGCCTATCAGAAAAAGTTGCTGCTTATTTCTGTGAAGATTTCACAAACTTTGACCTTGAAAACACATTCAAAATCTTACAGAAATTCTGTAAACAAATCAGAAAATGTCAAATGGTAGGTACTTATTGAAAATATCCAGTATTGTCGGTTCATTTATATATTTTTAACAATAACTACTTGCAGAATTTGAATACAGAAAAATAAATAAGAGACTTGACTACAAGTTAATTTACAAATGAGTATAAACCCCTAACGGGAAGGATTGTGCCTGATATTCATATGATGAAGACATAATCTTTCAATCAGTTTAATTGAAGTCTGGAGCTGGCATGTCAGTTAACTGCTAGTAGTCTGTTGTTATTTATGTATTATTGTCATTTTGTTTATTTTCTTTGGTTACATCTTCTGACATCAGACTCGGACTTCTCTTGAACTGAATTTTAATGTGCGTATTGTTATGCGTTTACTTTTCTACATTGGCTAGAGGTATGGGGGAGGGTTGAGATCTCATAAACATGTTTAACCCTGCCGCATTTTTGCGCCTGTCCCAAGTCAGGAGCCTCTAGCCTTTGTTAGTCTTGTATTATTTTTAATTTTAGTTTCTTATGTACAATTTGGAGTTTAGTATGGCGTTCATTATCACTGAACTAGTATATATATTTGTTATGGGGCCAGCTGAAGGACGCCTCTGGGTGCGGGAATTTCTCGCTGCATTGAAGACCTGTTGGTGGCCTTCTGCTGTTGTCTGTTCTGTGGTCGGGTTGTTGTCTCTTTGACACATTCCCCATTTCCATTCTCAATTTTATAGTACAATTGAATTATTAGTGTTTATCCATGTGTAGTGTATATTCCATCTACTATACTGTGTATTCATTATTATTTGTTGGATACTGGTTTTTGTGGATTTGGTGTGTACATGTGAACCATGAGTTTAAATGTTCAACGAAGTACAAATTTTCTATAGGCTTGTACATTGACTTTTGTAAAACCATGAAATCAAATATCAATGAAAATTTAAAAAAATCATTATCCACGATAATTGGTAACCACTATGATAATTAAATCCGCAGTATACAGTCAAGGGTCAACTTTAATAAGTTATTAGAGAAATACATTTGTTATTGTTGACTTAAAAAATCCAAAAACTGGGATAAAATGCATATTACATGTTTTGTTTTGTTAAAATATATACAAGTTCTATTGATATTATTATTTTCTATTTGCATACTAAACTTTAGAAAGATATAGGGTGCCAATCATGCATATTGCATCTGTATTTACAGAAAAAAATATACCTGTTATAACTTAAGGGTGTTATTACAGTTACTCTACATCACTTCAAAGCCTTTGTCTATCATGCTTAATCACAATGTATTTTAATTTATTGTAATAAATAATAATCAGAGCATAAAATGAGATACTGCGCAAGCATCCAAGTAATTCCCAAGTGTCCAATTTTAAATTATATGCCTGTAAAAACTAAGACTTGTTATAACAGCTATAAAGTTTATCACTTAAAAGCCTTGTCTCAATGATTTACCATGGTTGATAAAAAATGATTTGATTTAATTGGAAAATGAGTTATCCAGTCTAAATAATATAAACCTATAATGGTTTACTTTTATAAATTTTGACTTGGATGGAGAGTTGTCTCATTGGCACTCATACCACATCTTCTTATATCTATGTATTAAGTTTATGTGCAAAGTTTCAAGAATTCCCAAGTTCCCAATAGAAAGTAAAATATTAAAGATTTGTTTTAACAAATAACAAACATATGTTACTATAGATTAAGATCATTTTAGGAATAAAGAGTAGACAACTCATGAAATTATCCATAATAACACATGTATGTTATTTTTCTCTAATAACTTATTTAAGTTAGACCCTTGACTGGTATATGGGTATATAAAATATAACTGTTTCTTAATCTGTAGATGCCTTACCTTGTCTGTTTAATCTTCAGATTTAGCACAATGCAACATGTATATGGAGATAGTAGGTACATGGATGTTAGCAACAGTAGGTCACTGTAAGCCTTCAACAATGAGCAAAACACATATAATATAGTCAGCTATAAAAGGCATGACAAAATGTGAAACAATTCAAATAAGAAAACAAGCAACCTTTTTTAGGCTTATACTACAACAAAAGATTGAATGAGTTAAGTAGGTGGTTACTTCTATCTTTAGTGGTTGCACAATTCAGACAGTAGTATTTAGTCTTATTTAGGACATATTTGGCCTAAATATACTATTGCAACAGTTTGTCGTCACAACTTCTCTGAAACCACACAACAGAATTTCCTGTAACTTTGTAGATAATAAGGACATAATATGTAGATGTGCATATCCACAAGAAATTATTATCAGTTGATTTTTGTAGGAGTAATGAGTCTTTGAACTTAGGAATCTAGCAAGATTTTGTTTGCCCAATGACAATGTGGGGGCGTGGGGTATGTGAGCCTGCTCACAAAGGTTCTTTAATTATTCATGCGATTTTTGTCTCGCCTTGACGGAGTCAAAAAGCGAGACATAGGTATGCTGTTTCCAGCGTCGGCGGCGTCAACAATGTATTAGTTTGTGATTAGGTCTAGTTCATGGTGAACCACTAGTGGTAGGTCAATGATATTTGGTATGCAGTTGTATTAGCATTGGCAAATCTCATTACCATGGAGATTATTTGGCCCCGCCCCCTCAGTCAAGGTCTATTGACTTTGAAACTTTTCATAGTTTACATGAATTAGTTTGTGATTAGGTCAATTTATGGGGAACCACTAGTGGTAGGTCAATGATATTTGGTATGCAGTTGTATAAGCATTGGCATATCTCATTACCATGGAGATTATTTGGCCCCGCCCCCTCAATCAAGGTCTATTGACTTTGAAACTTTTCATAGTTTACATGTATTAGTTTGTGATTAGGTCAATTTATGGGGAACCACTAGTGGTAGGTCAATGATATTTGGTATGCAGTTGTATAAGCATTGGCATATCTCATCACCATGGAGATTATTTGGCCCCGCCCCCTCAGTCAAGGTCTATTGACTTTGAAACTTTTCATAGTTTACATGTATTAGTTTGTGATTAGGTCAATTTATGGGGAACCATTAGTGGTAGGTCAATGTTAATTGGTGTTCAGTTGTATAAGCATTGGCATATCTCATTACCATGGGGATTATTTGGCCACCCCTGATCATGGTTCATTGACTTTGAAACTTTTACATAGTTTACAAGTTAATGTTTGTGTTTAGGTTTGTTTAAAGGGAAAGACTTATAATAAGTCAATGGTATTTGGTATGCAGTTGTATTAGCATTGGCACATCTCATTCCATGGAGATTGTTTAGCCATGTACCTTCAGTCATGGTTCATCGACTTTGAATATTTACATAACTTAAATGTTAAAGTGTTGCTATTTTATAATTTCAACATTTGCATTATCAAAATTACAAAAAGGCGAGACATATCTCTGTGATAACAGTTTATTTCTTATATGGTGTGAAGGAATTTTAATGCCCTGCCTACAATAGATTTGGAGCATATTGCTTTCTGATATGTGTCTCCTTCTGTCTGTTTGGTTGTCTGTTATTTATGTCATGAATTGATACACCATATCACTTCTTTTCCATTATAAATCAGTCTTTATCCATTTGTCTTCATTTAGGACAATGCAAGCTTTCAGAAACAGTCACACTTAGCCAGGAGGAAGAATGAGCAGCTTAAATGTACCTTCAAAAACAGATTAATGGCTTTAGAATTTGGAAAAGATGCAGGTAAGTCAAAAGACCCATCAAGTTAGCTCACTTATTTCTATTATTTGCAAATGAGCTGCTGTCATAACATTCCAAACTCTTTGAAATCTTCAAAGACACAAAGCCAATTTAAAAAAACATTAAATTGCTAGACTGATTTTAGACAGAAGATACCATGAGTTGGTCTAAAAAATTTATATTCAATCTTTATCTAGTGACCTGCATTGTCATCTTTTATATTGTTATAAACAGATTATATACATGTGGAGTAAAACAAAACACTAAATAACATGACTCTCTCCCCCCTCCCCCTAAAAACAAACCGAGCTGAACATTTTTAAATTCCTTGGTAATGAAGGCTTATGAAACCTGGCCTTGAGGTCATAAAACTTTCGAGTATGACTATTGTACTCAGACTCAGAAATCAACCAATCAAAACACTGGAATTGTTAGATCTTAGGGAAACGTTTCTGTATTAATCATTATGAAGAAATGGGACTTTCGACTGATATCTAACAAAGATCGTTTCTTGAAAATAAGTGTTTAGTCAAGATTTCTAACAGATGCTAATGTAGAGGATAGTTCTTTAAGGATAACCTTCTTTCTCCAGTTCAAACCAGTTAGAGTGTGAACGGTCCTCAGATGGTATCTTTTCAAGAGAAATATGAAAGATGTTGATGATGGTTGCACAAAATTAAAGGAGTCTCTTGCACCTTTTATAATTGTAGTTCGAAAATAAAATTTATGCACAAAATTTAATTATTGATGTTGTTTTGGTGGCTCAGTCACTATTGGGAAAATGGACTTCTAATAAGTCTTGCCTTTTTACCATAGAAAAAATTGTATAAAAGGCATCCTTTCAGTTGTTTGATCATCCTTTCTCTAAGGTAAGATTCACTGTGATACCCCAACATAAGCAACTTCACATGATTAAGGAATGATATTTTGTCAGCATATATACACTTTTATTTATAATATTTTGACAATTTTACTTACATTCTTAACATGAATGACCAGGTGTAAAGTTCATACCAGGTGTAAAGTTCATATTTAGCTAATGACTGTTATCCTTTTCACATAAAAAGGTTGATGGCTCTACTAATGAGGTTACACAAAATGAGTTGAATCTGTAAAAAAACCTAAATCAATATCCAGTATTTATTTTCAGGAGCAAGTTCATCCATACTAGAAGATAGAAATAAAGTTCTAGAAAAAATCTTAGATGATTTACACCGTGGAAACTTTCGTCCTGTTATCAAATCAGAAGTCCATACCCCTGATACAATAGAGCTGGACCCCTTTGAGTTTAGTAACATCAGTTTTGTAGAGAGTCCATATGTATTGAGACAGCATGCTGGTACCTATGTCTCAGAGGAGGATATCTTGTCACCTACAGAGTTAGGCATCAGACCGAGATCAAGTTCAGGTATGGTCATTTATGTTTGTTTTGAAAACCGTTTATCTTGTTATTGTAGGCAAAACTTTGCAAAATTTTATTTGAATAGAATAATCTGAGCAATCTATTGATATTTTTAATTGTAAGTAACATCATTATGTTAAATGGACCAAAAATATACTAACGGAAAAAGTAAATTGCGCCTTCTAAAACACTGCCTTAAATTTCAAACTTAAAGTGTTTTGTGGAATAAGGTGTGAAACATTTCTTTTAATCTCTAATCAAAGAGGAAAGCATTGTTTTTCATGAAAGACACCATTCCTTGCAGTCACAAACAAACGAAAAGTAAGAATCTATATGCTAACAGAGATTTGAGTTTTAGTACTTCAAAGAAATTTGCTAACAGACATTGTATACATTATTCTGACTTAATGGTGATATGGTCTTTTTGATTTTGTTAGATTGGATATCGATTCATTTTTGTCGAGCCTGCGACTTTTGTCGCAGAAAGCTCGACATAGGGATAGCGATCCGGCGGCGGCGTTAGCTAACTTCTTAAAAGCTTTATATTTTAGAAGATGGAAGACCTGGATGCCTCATGTTACGAAGTTTCCGTCAGTCACATGTCCAATGTCCTTGACCTCATTTTCATGGTTCAGTGACTACTTGAAAAAAAAGTTCAGATTTTTTGTAATGTTAAATTCTCTCTTATTATAAGTAATAGGATAACTATATTTGGTATGTGCGTACCTTGCAAGGTCCTCATGCCCGTCAGACAGTTTTCACTTGACCTCGACCTCATTTCATGGATCAGTGAACAAGGTTAAGTTTTCGTGGTCAAGTCCATATCTCAGATACTATAAGCAATAGGTCTAGTATATTCAGTGTATGGAAGGACTGTAAGGTGTACATGTCCAACTGGCAGGTGTCATCTGACCTTGACCTCATTTTCATGGTTCAGTGGTTATAGTTAAGTTTTTGTGTTTTGGTCTGTTTTTCTTATACTGTATGCAATAGGTCTACTATATTTGGTGTATGGAATGATTGTAAGGTGTACATGTCTAGCTGGCAGGTGTCATCTGACCTTGACCTCATTTTCATGGTTCAGTGGTCAAAGTTAAGTTTTTGAGTTTTGGTCTTTTTTTCTAATACTGCATGCAATAGGTCAGCTATATTTGGTGTATGGAATGATTGTAAGGTGTACATGTCTAGCTGGCAGGTGTCATCTTACCTTGACCTCATTTTCATGGTTCAGTGGTCAAAGTTAAGTTTTTGAGTTTTGGTCTTTTTTTCTAATACTATATGCAATAGTTCAACTATATTTGGTGTATGGAAATATTTTATGATCTATATGTCAGTCACGCAGATTTTATTTGACCTTGACCTCATTTTCAAGGTTCATTGCTCAGTGTTAAGTTTTTGTGTTTTCGTCTGTTTTTCTTAAACTATAAGCAATAGGTCAACTATATTTGTTGTATGGAAGAATTGTTAGCTGTACATGCCTGCCTAGCATGGTTCATCTGACCTTGACCTCATTTTCATGGTTCATTGGTCAATGTGTAGTTTACTTGGTTAATGTGAAGTTTATGTGACAGTTGTAATAAAGCTTTATATTTAGGACTATCAACATAATATCAATGATTAGTAAAGAAGGCGAGACATTTCAGCGTGTGCACTCTTGTCAAGGTTCATTGCTCAGTGTTAAGTTTTTGTGTTTTCGTCTGTTTTTCTTAAACTATAAGCAATAGGTCAACTATATTTGTTGTATGGAAGAATTGTTAGCTGTACATGCCTGCCTAGCATGGTTCATCTGACCTTGACCTCATTTTCATGGTTCATTGGTCAATGTTTAGTTTACTTGGTTAATGTTAAGTTTATGTGACAGTTGTAATAAAGCTTTATATTTAGGACTATCAACATAATATCAATGATAAGTAAAGAAGGCGACACATTTCAGCGTGTGCACTCTTGTTAAATGGCATACGCTTATGACAGGACATAATCCAGACATCAAAATCTCTACTAAAAATTTTTTAAAAAGCACTTTAAGTAGCAAGTTAGACAACAACTTGTACCGGTTAAATTTGATAAATCTTGTTTATAAATCAAAACAATGTCAGAAAGAATAAAATAAATGCTCCTAAACTCTTATTCCAGCGGTATTATGGTCTTTGAATGTTACTTAATGGAACGCCAACATTTGCCCATGGACCTTGAAGAGGTTTTAAATGAGGAGTTGCGAACCTTCCAACATTCTAAAAACATAAACTCCCTACAATTATCTAAAACCAAACATATAGAACATATATAAAGTTAATATTTAAAATATTTGCTATATATTGAAAAATGCGTTTTCTTTTTTCATTAGTATATTAAATACAAAATTAAGGGAGAAATACCAAGGGGGCAATCAAACATTATAAATCTAAGAAAAACAGACAACACCATGGCCAGAAGAAAAACGAAGAAAAGACAATAGACCCCAAAAAGTCCACAAAAGTACCATAAATGCTTATGTAGATTATTTTTAATTCATCAGTTACTGATCTGTGCAAAATATATCTTGACCAATGAGAAATTCCACAAGGAAAGTTCTTCACTTAATACTTAACATGCTGTTTTGAACCACTGAACCCCAAAAAATATTGAATCTGGAAGGTCCCCTTATTCATAGTTAGGGCCAATAAAGGCTTTATCTTCACTATACCTAATATCCAGTTTGTTTCTTTATTACTCTGGATTCATTATTATTCGTGGGATACCAATTTTCGTTGATTTTGTGGGTATATTGAAACCACAAACTTAAAGTGTTCAAAGAAGTATCAATTGTCTATAGGCTTTTATACAAACTTTTACAAAATAATAAAATCAAATATCCATGAAAAAAGCCATTTTTATACGACAGTTTACGGGACATATTATGGTAAACCGTTGTCCTTCCATCGTCAACATATCTGACAATAACTCAAAAACGCTTAAACCAATTTTCATGAAACTTTGTTGAATGTATATATTTATTGACGTAAGCTCCTTTTCAATTTTTATAAATTTTTATAAATTTTAAATTTTATGTTTCCGAGTTATGGGATTTTATTCATAAAAAAGGGGGGATTTTCCAGTTTTCGGACAATAACTCAATAATGCTTTGAGCAGTTTTTATGAAACTTTGGTGACTGGTTTATATCTATTAAAATAAGCTCCCTTTAGTTTTTTATAAATTTATGATGAGACATTAAGGAATTATGGAACTTTATTTGTTGAAAAAGCGACTTTATTCCTCAATCCTCAAAAATTGATACCCATGAAAATTAATTAATCCACAGTTAATACCAGCTACAGTGTATCATTTTTTATTCCAGCAGCTGAGATACTTCTAGATGAACCAAGACTAGAGAAAGAAGAGGCTGTTTTGATAAATGAACCGCATACTAAGATAGACAGAGATATGGCAAACAAGTTGCAGCAGTTAAAACAAGAAATGGCACATGCACAAAGACCATGCCATCTGGAAGTGGCAAATATATCTGATGGAGCACCACCATTCCAGAGTGCTGCAGTGGCCATGTTGAATGAGACTAATAAATCAAAACTGAACGTGTCAGATAAAGAAATTACTGAAGCTAATGAAGTAATCAGTAAATTAAGACTTGAACAGTTAAAACGTCAGACAAGTAAACATAAACAATGTCATAATCGTAGTCGTAGCGATCTCACAGATTCAATCCTTGTCACAGAGAAATGGATGAAATATGAGGAGATGAAAAACCATGACTCCATCAAAGAAGAACAGATTGCGCCCCTTGCTGAACCAGAAAGTATGTGTGCTCTGTCTACTCTTAATTTGGAAAATCATGGAAAGTTTGTTGACAGGGATGATGTCAAGCACTATGTAGAAACCCAGAGACAAGATGAGAAACACTTATCCTTACAGGAAGGACCAATCGTAAAACTCCCTTTTACAGAAAATGTACGAGACACATGGTCAGACAAACCTAAACGACCAGAAAAGAGATTGTCGGTCACAAATTTCTTCAATAAGATATCCAGAGCTGTTCTTAAACCAAAAAACACTGAACCATCAAAGGATGGAACAAAGTCTCAGATGTTTGGGCGTTTTATGCGCAGAAAGAGTCTCACAAAAGAAAACAAAGAAAATATTTTACAGTCTGATCGACTGCAGCTGTACAGAAGTCAGGAAAGGAAAAGTAATAGGGAAAACAAGAAACTGAAAGGAGAGAAAGGAAAATTGGCAAAACAAAGCAAGGAAAATTTACATCGTATAGAAAAACTTAGTAGAGAAGATTTACGACAGGCAACCAAACTTAGTAGAGAAGATTTACGTCAGACAGCTAAACTAAGTAAAGAGGATTTACGTCAGCATCTTAATTCAAGCAGGGAAGATGTTTGGCAAACAGGAAAGTTGAGCAAAGAAGATTTCAGGATGCTGAGAAAACTAAGCAAAGAGGATGTTAGACATACCAAAGTGTAGAGAAATTAATATTCATATTCAAATTTTGAAAAAAGTGCTTTATATTACATTTATCATACTTGATGTTGCTATAAAAAGTTGTTATAATTATGTATTGGCTAATTTGGTGCTTTAAATTTGTACATAATTCATTGACTGTAGTTCGTCTGAAGCTATTGTCTGTCAGAGTTGTTTCTATCAATTTTGCTTTGTTTCATAGAACACATATTCAAACTACTCATGAATATATATGACTCTCAGCACACTTGTAATAGATGTGAAACCTCAGTGAATATTGGAATTTTTGTCCAATGAGCCTGCATGAAATTAATGTTCACTTTTGAATATTTGTCATTTTCGACAAAAATACTGGATTCATGTAAAGCCTTAGTTGCTTCTATTTGCTCTATGACTAAGTGTTTCATTATATATAAAAATTAATAAGGGAAGGGAGAGAGTCATATAAAAAAAAAATTTGAATAGGGTTTGATGGTGTAGGATTTATGCAAATTTGATGATTATTTCATAACAGAGCTTAATTTTCTATGATTACAATGTACATGTACCTAGTGAGGAGACTTGTGTAATGCCTAGACCTATATATATCATGCTTTGTTCAAATGAATCTCTGCTGCAGTAAATGGCATTTTTTTGGTGTCTTTGCTTTCAAGGTAAAGTTAAGTTTTGGATTAGAGTTGCTTTAAGGGAAGTTTTAGGTTATGGTTAAGTTCATTTAGTCCTATGTTGCTCCTTGAAGGAAAAGACAATTTTATTAAGGTTGTGAAATTTTGCGGTTGTGTTTGTAGGCTGTGATCAGATTTTTTTCCTGTTTAAATATTTAGTGCAATTTTTTTTTCTATTGAGCAGAATCAAAAGTTGAGCTTTTGTAGCAGTATTAGTGTATTATTAATTCTTGAAACAGATAAAAATTTAAAAGACTAGCTGAATGTTGTACCTAAAACAATGAAGCACAATTGTAGGTACATTGTACTTGGAATGAATATTAATTAGATGAAACTGCTGTGTTGACACTATATCAAAAAAAATTGTTATAAAAAATTTGATACATGTATATCATTACGATATAAAATTATGAAGATGGAATTTTGATTATACAGAATAGACAAAACACAAAAAAAGATGTCAATGGTTTTGAAATTTTCTTTATATGTATATTACTTGTCAGACTAACCTCTGTGCCATCCTTTTTTCATGTGTTAGGTTTTTTTTTATAAATATATAGAATTATTTAAAGTGAATTAGTTTAATATTCAAAACAGTTTATTGTGAGGATAACATATTTTGTAAATATAAAAAGCACAATGTTATTAAAATTATCTCTATAAACAATATTTTGTAACAGTTTATATTTCAATATACACTTATTTTATAATTTGATATGGACTTTATGATCATATTTTTTGCTTAGGGTTGTGATTTGTGTGCAATAGATTTTTTGTAGGCTGTGATAGAAATTTAGTTTTGTCATTTTTTTAGCATGTTTAAGCTCAAGTTTAAAAGACGGAGTTATTTCCATTACTTAGCACTTATCATCGTCCATTACATTGTTTGAAAAATTTTATGCCCTTGGTACAATTATAGTTGACCCTTTCATTGACAATATAACATACCAAATTTAAAGCTAAGGCCTCAACAAAAAATATGTGTGTGTTTAATGTAACCTATTGAGAGAAAAAAATACAGTTGGTCAGTCAGCAAATTGTTTTTTTTTTTTCTTTGATCCTGAAATCCGATCTGGTATTGCATTCAGTGGTGTAGCACCAGTGTAGCACTCAATGAAGCATGTGCTTACAAATAATTTTATAAAACTTTTTTTTTCAATAAGAATTTAACTTTAACTGTTCAGCTTCAGGGGAGCTTCTCCCAAACCCATCCCACCTCTACCCCCTGCTATGACAATGACTTCAAGGGCAATGACAATAAAATAAAAAGAGAGCGTTTTTTTTTCATATATTGATAGAAAATGTGTGTAGTTGTTATCTTTATTCTTATATTTTTCCTCAGTGAATGTTGCTTTCCATTTGTTCTTCCAATATAGTACAAAAATATATTTTAAAAGGATAAATTTGGCTCAGTCATAACTGATGTACAAGCCTAAATCATTGGCTGAAATTATTATCAGATTGGCTCATTGGTTTCTACAACAGTTGTAGTGAGGAACAAGTCTAATGAAGCAGATTGAAAGATCTGATTTTAATCAGATTGCTACTACAAATGAGCTGTGTCGGATAGAAATAGACCTTATACAAGTGCACGTATACATGTACATATATAAGACTTTGATTGATTTTGGTCTGTTTTGTAGATTGTCTTATAACAGCTCAATTTTCAAACAGTTACAGAATTTCCATAGATATTTTTGGAACCCGAAATAGGTTAACAGATTTATTGATGTTCATCTGCATTAGGTCGATTTCTATCCGTCACAGCTCAAATGTAGATCATATTTGTTGGTAGTGTTCCTGGACCATTTGGGCCACATCAAATTAATCAGCATATACTGTTTTCTATAGTTCACTTTTTATTAACAGAGCATATAATTATTATAAGTTGTAGCATATAAAATATAGGATATGCCAAAACAGATAGTTAACATACCAGTGACCAGTTTCACAAAAAAATCTTACGACTAAAGTTGATTATGAGTATTCTGAATTGTTCGGGACTTACGATCAACTTTAGTTTTAAGTTTTTTTGTGAAACTGATCACAGGAGCTGTTAATTATGTGTTTTGGCATATCCTATATTTTATATGCTCTATATTTTTTTCCTTTCTGATTTACATAATTAATATGGCTTCAAATAACAGAAAGTTCCGTTGGGTCTACTGTGTTTATAGACCTCTTACATTGGTATATCATCACTATCTTACTCATTTAATTGTTATAAGTTGTTTTACAAAATTTAAACTGTTTAAGATGTAGTCTATTTGCAGTTGTATATTGCAAACGAAAAATAATTGTGATTGTAAAATTTGTGAATTCTATAGAAAAGTGTGATGTATTATTTTTCAGCTATGTGACAAGTAAAAAATTATATATATGTTTCTGTTTATCAGATGTTCTTTAATGAGCCAATTTTTATTTATTACGAAGAACATTTGAAAAATTATGTTTTAATCAATATATCCTTTATTTGCATTTAAAATGTATTTAGTTTACTGTGAATTCATTTTTATTTGTGGGATACCAATTTTGATGAGTGATGGGGAACCAAGAATTTCAATGTTCAAAAAAGACCCCATTTTCTATAGGCCTGTAGCCAGACTAAAGAAATGGCATAACTATGAAATCAAATATCCACAAAAAGTACAATTTTTCTTCAATCCACGAAAATTGGTATCCAGGAAAAAATATGAATCCACAGTATTTGAGTTGAGATACTTCCAGCTGTGTTCATGTTTATACAATGTTATATTTTAAAATATGCACTAGATGCAAGCTAGACTTGCAAAATATCTGTCTGTTTCCTGCCTCTCTAATGACCTTATGTTTGACCAAAGACCCAAATACATTTAATTACCTTGCTCCCAAAACATAACATTTAAGGAATAGTGTTTTTGTGTAGTTTAAATAAAATAAGAATCCTTTTTCCACTGAATGATTATTCAAATTTGGAATTAGATTGACCAAAATGGAAATAAAAAGTTGTCATTACATTTGAAATATTGAAGATTCCATTGCACATGTGCAAATTAGTAGATGTGTAATGTTAACCCACGCTGGACTCTGAGAAAACATGATTTTTGAAGATTTTGTCTAAAAGAATTTTTTTTTTTTTTTTAATCTAATCTACCCTCTCTTTATTGTGACAGGAGACACGATATTTGCATTTATCCTGCATTCAACCATTTTACCATACCAATACAGGTATAGAGATAAACCAAAGCAATACATGTATAGTATATGAATATAAGTTACCGGTATCCTGCTTCTGTTGAAAAGCACACTGTTACATTCAAAACACTTTGTGACAGTTTAATTTGGGTCCTCTTCTCAGTCAGCATTTGAAACAATGTTGATTTCATTACAATACGAATTCAATGGTGTTAGAGGTAATAAAATATATTTTAATAATTGCAGGATACAAAAAAACGGGTACATTCATGATTGTAGTTAAATATAAAATGTTTTTGTACTCACTATTAAACAGAAGAAAAGCTCAGTGAGCATTGCTTTTCTTCCTGTTTCGAAATCGTTTAAAAATTAATTTAATGTTCCTACAATGTTTCAATATTGCATATTTTTTTTTTTTGCATTGTCTGATAGAACAATGAAATAATTGTATTGTAAGAGCAACCGTTATTTTGTTAAAGCATATATGTAGTAAAATATTATCATGACTTGTATGCATTTCTTAACATATTTCATACTTGTTATACTATATGATAGATTAGATATATCGTAAAAATTAGATAATAAAAGCAATAAATTAGTTGTTTTAAAGTTTCACAAGATTAATGAACTGCTGAAAGTGCTGGTTGTGTTCAAATTAATAGATTAAATGTTGTTCAGACCAAATTATATTTTCATCAATAACAAATAGTAATCAACACTCAATCAATTTTCATTGACTCAAAAGAAGTCTTTTTTTTACCAAATGCATTATTATAATATCATATTATTGAAAAGCTGTGATTTATCAATTCATGTCACATGTTTAGATAATGGTATTCCTAAAATTTGATACTAAGAGGTCATATTGACCAGATACATTTTGATTGGAGGTTGATTATAATTTTCTCCCAATCAAAATAGAGCTTTCATTTAACTTTGGTTAAGGGAGAGGATTTTTTCTTCAATTAGCTTTGCCTTTTCTTGTCTGTTTGCTTTTAGATATTTCAGATCGATGTTTTTTTTATGTTGGAATTTGGATAAAATTATTAATTTGCAAGTAATAAAAATCTGTTAGAATATTTTTTTTAATGTTCAAGCTTTAAGGAAATAAATAAGACATTTACTTCAGTACACATGTTTCAGAATTTTGTGTTGAAAAAAGATCTAGACAAAAACATTAATTTCAAATGGCTGATAGTAATTTAATTAGTGTTATTTTTGAATTAATCATAAGTATAGAACATAATTATTGAAGTTTAACTTGAAAAAAGAAAACACTTTACTATATGCAAATAGTGGAATTGTTTTTGCAAATATACTGTGTACCAACGTTGCCTGGTAGTTAAAGCTTTAAAATTGTAAAAAAATATTACTCTCTGAACTTATTTTATCTTATTTCTTAATTGTACAAGTTAACTGACTTAAATTTTGATTTGGTTATTTTTTCTAGCATAATTTAAATAAAATAATTAGTCATGTTTCTAATATTCATATTTTTAATCAAACTAAGATCTATTTTCTTCTCATTGCTATAGAATCATAATAAATAATGAATAAAGAAGTTTGTGTTGCTGATATGACTTCATTATTTTTATGCACTGCCTACAATAGAAGGGGAATAATCTTATATGACTTATTTATTTTTATGTGATGCCTATATTAGAAGGGGCATAATGTTTACAGATCTGCATCTGTCTTTATATCCATCTGTTTGGTTCTTTTTAGGTATGAGATTATAGTTATGACCCCTTGTCATTGGAGGGGGCATTAAGTGTAACACTTATCTGTCCGTACATCCGTCCGTCTATACGTCCCAAAATTGGTTTCTGTTCTCTAACTTTAGTTTGCCTAAACCAAATGTTATGACACTTATACACAATGCTTATTACCACAAAACACAGATCAAATTCGTATTTGGAATGCATCACTTCTACCGATCTGGAGTTATGCCCCTTGTCATTGGAAAAAATGCTTAATTTTTCGTTTTGGTTCTCTTAACTTTAGTTTGCCTCAACCAAATGTTATGAAACTTATACACAATGTTTATTACCACAAAACTCAGATCAAGTAAAAATTTGGGTGGCGTCACTTTTTCTGTTCTTGAGTTATGCCTCTTTATAATGTTATATGCAAGCGAGGGCATCATCTGTGTCCCCTCGACACATTCTCCATTTATTTTAGTTTAAGGTACCTCTTAGATGAGGTCACATCAACTTGAAACTCTTTAATACATGGAAATCATATACTGTAAATTCAGAAATTATTACTTGCATTTTTTATTGGGATTTTTTGAAGAATGGGCAGTAATGGAAGATCAATTATTACGATTTCAGGAAAGAACCTTAAAAAAACGAAGGTACTTGCAACAAAAGCCTACTTATAACCTCTATCAAAAAGTACATTTGACTAAAACTGACAATTCAAACACTTTTTCTTGCCTACAACTTAGTTATTTCAGGAAAATGGGTATGCTAATTTGTCAGAGAGATAACAGCAACAACTGTTTGTATGAAGCTTCATAAAAGTTAAATCCTTTGTATCCGCTATACTTGGTTGGTTAATGCCTATAAAATGAGAAAGACTCGTATTGATTTTTGGGTCAAATGTGAAGGTCACAGCAGCTATTAATAGACTGAAATTTGGACAAAATTGGGGTTTCCATATGTCTTCAACTATATTTCCAAATTTGCCAAATTTAATTTTGTTTATGCCCTTCTATGAGATGATGTTTAGGTCGCTAAATCAAAGTTCAAGATTAAAGCAGAAACGACTGATATTGGGTGGGGAATGTGGTTTTGTCAACTTCACCAAACTCAGCTGGAGAATACCACTTAGAAAGAACAATTTCCCTATTGTTTATTTTTTAGTCAGTAGGTCAAAGGTTGAGATCACATTACCTTTGCATAGACTGAAAGGTTGTGAAAAGTTATGTTTCAGATCATACCTCAGATTTTTATATACTTTTTTTGGTTGATTGAGCACATTGGGATGAAAAGACCTATTGACTTTAGGTCAAGGTCATGGTTACAGCATCAATTAATAAACTGAAATTTGGATTTGTTTTTTTTCCCGCCATTTAACATACATTGTCTGCAAAATAGTCTTAATTGTATTTGATACAAAAATTTTCCTCTACTATTGTTCCATTAAGATCGCATCTCCGCATATGCACCAATGGTGCTCCTTAATTTTTATCTTTATTAGGTGACTGAGTAACACACCAATTCAATTTATTCTATAGAATTTAAAGGTGAAAATGTCCGTCTAAGATAAAATAATCTTGATCTTTAGTTCCATTGACGGTGTGTCTTGGAGTCAGAATTTGGTTTCCAAGTAGGGTAACATTTATTCCCTCGGACTGTTACCTTGTAAACTATCATGTTACATACACAAATGGTATATTTTCATACAACATAAACGAGTTCCCGTCCTGATATGCAAAATATATTTGCCACTGTATGTTTAAAATCAGTCCATCATCATCATACATTTATTATGCATGTAAATTCATTACAACCTAGAAGTGCATATGCATCGAAGATGTTTTATTTGACATTAACCTTGACCTGTCTGGTTCATTGACCTCCAAAGTCCTTTAAATTTTTTAAACAAGCAACACGAAACCAACGGGCAATCAAAACCATAAAATGAAGAAAGAATTTAGTAACACCATAGTCAAAAAGACAAAAAAAAACAACACACAAACTCCACTCAAAACAATATATTGGTGCATGCAATAATTACTTTGTGTACAAAAACATGGATTGCAGGATTTTGAGATCATAATAACGTTTCGTTGGTTAACATTATCTTTTCATGTTTAGGTCAGTTTCTCATATTATATAAGAAATAGAGAATGACTGTAAAGCACACATGTTCGTCTAACAGTGTTAAAATGACCTTGACGTATGTTTCATGTATCACTGATAATACTCATATCTGCGGTACATTTTGTGAGAGCGTGATCTTAAACATTTTCCAGTTGCAATATCAAGCAAAATTCAAAAAGACATGTGAGCCATTTCATTTGTACACTCTTGTTTTTGTCCTTGTTGCTTAAAGTGTTTTTGTGTATACTGTATATATATATATATATATATATATATATATATATATAAGACTAAATTGAAAACAACGTTCAAACCTATGATTGGGTTGGATAAAAACCGCAATTGTTATACGTGTGCATACAAAACAAATTTCTTGGTAGAGGGGTCTAAATACAGCACAAACAACATTTTCCAAAAGACCAAATAAGTGAAAAAGTATATTTCAACAAAACGCATTTGACTAGCAGTTCGAACAACGGATGTTCTTAAACACTGCCGACTGCCATGGCGATTGCCAAATAAACGGATCACCAGATGTAACAAAATGGATCTTAATTATTAATTTAATACCAAACAGAAAACAATAAACTTGCGGAAAGGATGGTATACCGCAACACCATTTTCGGATTTCGACAATTAATGTCTCTTCAGTGATGTTAGGAATCGAAACGGTATTTGGAAGGCCATATAATTTACATCAATTTAGGATAGACTCTTGAATTTTGAAGAGTCGAAATAGGCTGAACGGATTATATACACCCGATAATATATATTATTATTTTAATGTATATCCAAGACATAATCGTGACAGTCTTTAGTGTAATGTCTCTTGATGCTTTCTCTTGGGTGCTGAACAATACAGTTACTCTCCCGTTTGTTTTGAGCATGTGATAGCTGACCTTCATGTATTTTTATTGTGTAATTTTTGTATACATTTTTGTTTATAGTAGTGTTGTTAGCTTTAAGTCATCTTTTTTTTAATACATTTAAAATTTTGTAATTTTATGACAAAAATAGTCCCAACGTTTTTAGATAAATACATGAATCAAAATGACATTAAATAACCACCACTAACTAATAACTTAAATACTATATTTACGATTTAGAAAACACTATTATATTCCAAGGATAAAGATTAACGTTATATACGATTATCATAGGAAAGTTATTATAGGCCCTTTTGGTATGAAGTATTGTTTTTACGCTTAAATCAATTTAGAAAAATTCAAATTGATTTTAGAATAGGAATATTTTTTGAGAGTTTTTAACAACGATGACCAGCTCTTGCTAAGGCAAAATGTTCTCTAGATGTTTTCCCGGTTGTTGTGTCCGTAGCTATCGCTTCTAATTCAGTTCCTCCGTAAATAAGTTCAAGTCTTATCTGCTTTTCTCCATATTTATTACATGACATTTTACTGACATCAACTGTCAAAGATCCCAGTTGGAAACACCCGTCTTCGTCCGTGAACTTTGGTGACCTTTTAATGGAAGCAAACACAATAAATTCCATATGAGTTTGATCTGGATCGATGGTTTTATATGTTTTGCTTACTGATTTTCCAAGATTTACATGTTCACCATCTTTAACATGGATGCAGAATATTTTATCACAGTGGGATTTCCCATTTATAAATATTTTTTTATCTACGGGATATCCTTTTCTAAATGGTTCGGTTGTCTCTATACCATAAGTAAAAGTACTTATCCTTGACTGAAAAGTTCGCGGCGAATGCCCATATAGAACAGCACCTTTCAGTACGGATAATACGGAATTTGGTGGTATTAAAACTCTCAGCGAATTGAACTTAAATCGAATTGCTTCCTGCAATAGATAACATTCGGAATATCCCCCAACCATGAAAATGGTTGTCAAATCTGTTACTTGACTCTGTCGAAAAAGTATTGATAGATGGTTTACAATGTCGTAAATAGCACCTGCGAACAGTGATTTGAATAACGAAAGATCTATTTCTAGCTTGTCTTTGACTAGTCGAATATTATTTTTAAACTTCAAGTTTTCTGATATCAGCTCGTTCACATCTTTCTCTCTAGTTTTCAAGCATAATCTATTAATGGTATTCGGAAAAGTAAGCTGAACCTTACCATGACCGACAATTGAAAAGTCTCTCCTCTTAGCACGTTCGAATGAATGAAATATATCCATATAATCCGACATATATTGTTTTTGAAGCTCACAAAAAATGTCTTTGCCGACAATATCTTTTAGAAGTTTCTTAAACTCTTGGTCGACCTTGATTCCACCCCAGTCTCCGCCGCTCGCCTTGTTCAATTCTCGGATTCTTCCATTTTCTTGAATCTGATGCACTGCAATATCAACCGTTCCACCTAAAAACAACAAGAAATGGCAATTGTTTGTGTTTCTTTTTTCAATGTGAGAGAAGTTTGCTATTAATTTTCTACATAAGTGTAAGTCAATCAGATGTATTGAATACATATTGTGTCCATATAATTACATCAGGTCGACAGTTGACCAAAAATGCCCATATATTTATGTCGGCCTTTCAATTGGTCGACTTTTCAAACTGTCGATCTGTAAAAATTTGGACTGTCAACCTGTCGACTGTATCCTACTTGACCCCAAACCTCGTCAGTGGTCTTAGTTTTCTATTGTGTATATTGTCTTTTAAAGAATTTAGTGTTGGTACATGTGAGATCTTTGGTAGTTGCTGTTGATTTCCTAAATTTGGGTTCCAGTCGATTTCGAGCTTCACAAAGTTTGAATATCTATCGATTAAGGTTGTATGTTATGTATAGATGTCTTTTCTTGTTTTATTCTATTTTTGAGTTGCTGCCTTATTGACGAATATGACACATTTTCTCCTTATTATACGAAATACATGAAAAAATCTACCATGTAGAGACATTATACTGTTACCCCGTATGGCTAGTGACATCAATTGAAACGTAGGTCCAAATACAAATACACTAAAAATCTTGACCGGCAAAGAGGTTTTTGCAGAGGTGCAGACATTTTTAGAGAACGGATTTCGAGGGCACCTTTGCCCAAACCATGTCAAGGATGGAGCTTGACAAGGGTAATTCCGAATCTAATAGTTTCCAAAGGGCAGTGCAAACGCACCCCTCGCATCCTTTCCCCTCTGCGTATGGGCATGCAATTGGAGTAACACCAATAGCAGTGACATGATTTAATCACAGAAGCTTAAAACGAGTGAATGCTGTCATGAGGTTAATCTTAAGATAGCACACTTAAACAATTTTTCATTGTTTTGACTGGAAATTGCATGGTTTGCGTGTATTTGAGATAGTTTACGCTCAAAACGATAGGTTACTCAACAAAAAAAATCACAAAAAACTAGTGTCTGTTATTTTGACATATAGTTAGCACATTTACCGCCAGCATCTAAAACTAGGAACTTTTCTCCTCGTTCAAGTTCTGTCGCATCACTTCTCTTCATCCATTCTATACAGTACAGCGAAGCAGCTTCCGGTTCCAAGGCCATTACCAGACTGTTGTTTGATATACCAGCCTTTGAAAACATACTACATTATGTACCGTTATACTTGTTTATTAAAATTTCTTTCTCGAAACCTGTCTTAGAATTTTAATCAGCAATGTGTGATTCTCAGTTTATGATCGAATATCTCCTTCGTTCTCTGGTTTTGCAATTGTTAACATTAAATCGATTTATAACTTCCTAAAGATGATTCTAAACTAGTTTTAGAGTTTACGTGTTTCTAAAAAATGACAGGACATTAATACAAAAACCAAATTCTTTAAAACGTAGAGCTTTGCATTGCCTCAATAGAAGTTAAATAAATTCATTTTGGATCTGTATTTCCTTTAATCAAAAACATTTCAAAACCAGATTTTTAGATATTTTATCAAGGAAGTTTTCTCTTTTGAAGGGTTGAGTGAAACAAATACATTAAGAGTATTATCTTGTAAAAATGAATGTATAAAATATCAGAATAACATACTCTATTTGCAGCCTCTCTCATGAAAGTTTTAGCATTATCATTCCATAGAGCTGGAACGGTGAGAACCCAACGGATATGTTCCTGACCAATCGAAGAATCTTTCACATAACACATAGCAAGTAGATCTGCCTTCATGTAACCAATCGCAGCAGAGAAAACTTTTAATGCTGACATGCGTTTTCCTTGGTTGTCTTTTAATTTAGTATTGGTATTTATGTTCTGAAAATATACCAGACATGAACATGTCTAATGTCCAATAAGCAAAAAAGGATAAATAACACAAAATCAACTGTATGTCTTTTAAGAGCTCGTAGGTGGCTGTGAAAAGAATTACAACTTTTAGATCGCAGCCAAATTGAAATATTTCACTATAGACCCGATGCCGATGTAGAATGTTTAATTTTCAGTCAACATCACAGTTGAATTGACCCTTTAAGTCGAAAGCGACTCGTTCTTAGAGTGCAACAGTCTTTGCATCTTATCTAAATCTTGAATGCTCAAATTTTTTATGTTCTTGACTGACTTCATAAACTTTCATTCTTGTTCGTAACTGCCCAAAGTAGTTTTATATCTACGTGTCACTGTTGACAAATGTTTTATTTTTATTTACGGACGACATTATGATTTGGTTTGACCGTTATGGAATATCTGTCTCACAAATGACCAATCCCGTCTTCTTTTCCTCGATTCTGACATCACCGAATGATACTTAAAACCGAGTGTGTACTTTTCTTGAGCAACTTGACGGGTGTCCCTTTTGTATTTTTTCTTTTCTTTTTCTTTCTTTCTTTCTTTTTTTAGTTCTAACTATGATATTATAAACGACAGTTCGCGTTGAAAAACTAACAATCAATCAAACAATCAAACAATCAATCACGTGAATAGATGCAAATGTATTCTAAATTGATACCTAAAATACATAACTTTTCTTACCATGTTTTGATACAATATCATCTTAAATCGACTGAAATAAAACCACTCCTCCACATTAATATCTTCGTCCTCTAAAAGTCGCAGATATTTTTCTTCAGCTTCAAATCCAAACGAGTGAAATCGTCTCTGTTCGTCAAATAAAATAGAAGTGGACGTTTTTACCGCTTTGAACTGAGGACTAGACCATAATTTGGCGGTTATTAACATCGGATTTCTTTTGTGCTCGTTAGATGATGAAAACGCATAACCTGAATAAGAAGTACCGAAATCTATAGCAGCAACCATAAGAAAACTATCGGTTTCCGTATTTGTTACGTCTTCTTCTATTTTGTCTTCTTTCATTTCCTTTTTTCTTTGATTATCAGGAAGTGTGCCAGATTTCCGTTGTGCTTCCATTCTGTCCTTTTGTTTAGTGTTTTCAGACATGTTAATAGTACTTTGTTTGCCTTCAGAGTCTTGTTTCATACCATTCTTACTGACGGTTAATTCTAATTTCTTTGATACAGTAACGTTGTCTTTCTTAATTTCTCTCTTTGGAAGAGAAGATCGATGTAATAATTTTGGTGGTAATGTAACTGGGTTAATAGTTTCAGAGTCGGTTTCGGATTTGAGTGGACTTAATTTCTCATCAATGCATCTTACTTCTGCTTTTGATGGTATTAAAGACCGTTTACTCAATTTAAAATCTTCTTTTTTCTTCATCGCAGACTGAATGTATTCTGCACCAATCTTCTTGAAGTCAACTTTTTCGTTGTTATCGTTATAGTCCACGGATTTGGACTGCTGTTCATTATTTTCCTCTTTCGTTTTGGTTTTAAATAAGACCTCCTTCCTGAAATCTGTCCCTATTGTTTCGCTTTTAATTTTGTTTTTTACTTTTTCATCTACAAACGATTTAAAGTTAAGTGATTTACTTTTTTTATTATCTATTGTCTTTGGAAATAAAGATTTATAATTGCTTTGTATTTCGGGCGAATCAAAAAGTGTGTCTTCGTCTCTACGTTTTACTAATGTTGTTTTTGAACGCAAATGGGATCTTTTAACAATTCTGTCATCTAATTTATGAACAGTTGTATCGTCACTTATCCTAACTGATTTCTTCTTTTGGTTTGCAAATTGACTGCCATATATCGATTCAGTCCGTCTTGGTAACATACTTTGCATTGATGGTTTAATGGTATTTTGTTTTTATTACTAAGGATTCTGTCAGTTTTTGTCATAAGAGTATTTTAGTTTCATCAAACTACTATAACAATGATTTCCCACATAAACCCTTCTTCTAAATATGGTGTAACAAAGACGTTTCTACTGTCAGAGAAATGAGAAATCGAGGCAGGTTTGATATCATGGTATTCTGCAATAAAATGTATTTGCATATGTTTAGTATTTCTATTTGTTTTGCAATGTTTGCTGTTTTATATTATCAATTTTACCTTGGCAAAATTGTTTTGCTGCCTTTTTCGATTTTTAATATTTTTTTCTTAAACGCCGGCATTATGACTTCTAGCTTTTATATTTGCTTGTAAACTTGTAACCTACAATTTTATCGTGAAACTGTATGTGCTTGCTTATGAATGTATTTACCACGTCAAACGTATCACATAACCCATTTGATCTGTATAGCAATCAAATTTAACTATGAAAAGAAGTTCCATGGAAAGACAATTTCAGTCCCATTTACTATGTTTTATTCCAGATATGTTTAAATGTTTTGAATATATATATTAAATATTTTTCTCTCGTACATGACTGGTGATGGATACATTTACATTCTTTTGATAAAACATCTGGGCTTTCGCCTTCAATGCCAATTTTTACAAATTTCTGGACTTTCATGTTTTCAAACCACCATTTTGTTCTATTTTGCACTGATATGTATCAACAAAATTAAATCACACTATATTGAAAGGGCTTTCTCTTCATTAAAGCATAGAAAAGGCTGTTTGATAGTCGAAAAAAGGTTTTCAACAAAATTATAACACTCGAAACACGGTCCTTCCACACGTTAAATACAATTCAATTCTAAATTGATATATCTGAATACTTTTTGTAATAGCGCATCATGTCAAATACATAGGAAAATCGTATCGCCATGACTGAATAAATCGTTTACTCTTCAAGATTCCTAATACCACCCAATACTGCTATGGATGGAACAATACTATAGCTGACATTTCTGTCACCTTATCCCAAGTTGTATCCCTCCAGTTAAATTGTGCTGGCTTATAAAATAAATACACGGTAACGAAAAGAACTATATAGACACTGAAATGATTATTATGATTTCCGTAAATGTTTAACTTTAAATTACCAATAAGTAATACATTTTGATGCTGATTATTTATATATCATCAAATCTATGACTATGTTTATACGTAACTGTCAATACCTCCAGTGGATCCGGTCTTCAAACTGTTACTCCTAAATAAAAAGGAATAATAGAATTGTCGAATGTGTTAGAAGACACTTAAATGTTTTGTTTATAACTGTTTTGTGTACATGTTGACTGGTATTAGTTTCACTCTTTATTGTTTATATAATGCTGTTTATTAAATATATATATATATATAAACCCTATTCCAACAAATTTATAACATCGAAAACACGATCCATCTGTACGGTAAGTAACTTTTAATTCTAAATTGATATACAAATGTACATGAATACTTTTTGTAAAATTCCATCATGTCAAATACATAAAGGAAAATCTTGATGCCATGACTGAATAAATCATTTACACTTCAGGGAACATAGCTCCATCCAATACTACTAAGGCTATAACAATAATGTGGCTGATCTTTCTGTCTCCTGATAAGTTTTATGCCTCCAGTTAAATGGTGCTGGTTTATAAAAGAAAATACACGGTTACGAAGAGAACTAAATAAACATTGAAGTGATTTTTCTGATCTCATAAATATTTAACTTATCTTTTGAATTACCAATAATAAATGTTGATGTGAATTATTATATATTATCAAACCTATAATGACTTTGTTTATACGTAAATGTCATTACCTCCAGTAGACCCGGTCTTCCAACTGTTACCTCTAAATTAAACGGAATAATAGAATTGTCGAATGTGTTAGAATACACTTAAATGTTTTGTTGATAACTGTTTTGTGTACATATGTTGACTGGGTATTAGTTTCACTCTATATTGTTTACGAAAACGTAACTTTTGTATTTGTTCACTTGAACTTAGTTTATTGTTTTATACGTATTTATAAATAGACTCTTTGACTATATATGTATGGTGTTACACTGGACAGGTATGGTCAAAATTCTCTGTATTTAATTTACTTACAGGATCGAAACTTGAAAGTTGAATAAACCTAATAGAATATTGAATGTCAAAGAATCTAAATAATATACTTATCAGATTTTTCAGCAATTTTACATACATCCATAAAAAGCAAATTGTTATTCAGCTATAAACACATGGGTGTTGAAAGGCATGGTTAATCAATGTTGCAAAATAGAAGGTGCGATAAAGGCTATCATCTGACCCATGAAATTACTCCAAAATTATTAAATTCTTTAATATTTTTACAATTATGTGAACTTTATTTATAAATAAACAAGGAGATATATTCTAGACAACACATTACAACACATTAGAACGGAACGTTCAGTTGCAATGTAGCAATGACATTATACATGTGTTGAAATTGACATGACAATTTTACACTTAATTATTTTTTGTCAAAACTAAATATGAACCAATGTCTTAACTGAACGATATTTAAAAAACTCACATCCACCTCTTTGCAGAAGACATGATCTAGGAAACTGTATTTTGGGTAAAACATTGTCTTTTATCTAAATAGTAATGGAAAGACCTTAAACTGAAGCTGTTCTGACGGTTTTTGTAGTTTTGCATTTATTTTGATAATTTCAAGAGCCTTAAAGAGTTTTAAAGTCGATAAAGACTTATGAGACATATTCAACATCATAGTCAGCTCTTTTCTGTTTTACCTCCGACTTGTTTTCTTTTATACAAAAATATCAGGTTGTATCCAAAGTTTGTCTTTCATTTGGGTTTCGTCGATCACTGTAGATACTACTTCTTCCTTGGCGCCTTTGTACTTAATCATTTGTTTTGCAATTTTGTTTTTCATGATCCTTCTTATTTTGTGCTCATCGCAGCTGCTGTTCAAAATGTCTGCCAAAGTGTGTCTGATTAACTGTCATATTCTACTTTTGCTTTATTTAACCTTTTATGCAGACATGTTGTTTACATCTCTGACATTCAAAAAGTTTGGGATCCTGTGTAGGTTTTTGTTGTTTAGTTTTTAGTCCCATGAGTCTTTGTTATTTGATTATTTGACACATTTGACGCCGTCTTATTTCGCCTCGACATTTTGTGTTGTATTTGAACTACACTGTAATGTATAATACAATTATAGTTTGTTTACTGTAAATTCAGAAATTATTGCTTGCATTTATTATTGCTATTTTTCAAGAATGGACAGAAATGCGAGATTAATTATTGCGATATCAGGAAAATCTTCATACAGGTATATATAACAGATATCTGAAAGCGAGTTTTTATTATTGCGATAGTCACTTAGTCTCATTTTTCGCATAAATAAAAACCTCGCAATAATTTCTGAATTTACAGTATGTCGGATCGGGCTTTCCTATCAGATCTAAAACTTAGTCATTTTCTTTTTGTATAGGGCATCTTTATCAAATCATTGTTTGTGTAAACGTATGATCAGTCTTCCCTGTTTAAGTTCTATACCAAATTAGATTATCTTGCCGTTTCAGGTTTACCCAAGACTTTGTATTTAATGGCTAGTTTCGGTACCTTTTTCTATGCTTATATATGGTTTCTTGTTTTTTTCAGTCTGAGCTACTTTCGGTTAGAAATATGGCTTCTTGCTATAATACCAAGTTTACCTAGTTATCTTGAAGATTTAAATTTAAAGTTCAGACGGTGGTGGTTGCCTACTTGGAATTAATTATTTGCAAGTTTATCACGTAGTACTTAATATCAATATTTCCTTGCATAAACTGATTTGAAGTTTTTGGGCTATAAAGGGCTCCTATATTTCAAATGTCTTACGGGAAACATATAAATCATCATCCTTTTACAGTGTGCTTCCTTATTTTAATCCCCTGAGTATCTCTTTAGCATATTTCTTCTGACACTTATAAAGCTAATTCAACCAATTTGTATTTGCATAGATAAGCCAATGAACAAAAACAGGTATTACATCATTCGTGCATGAGATTATATATTTTTGTACCTTACTTTTGCGTTTCTTCTCGACTTGTTTGAGAAGATTAAGTCTTATGGATACGCTGTGTTGCATCTCTATGTGTCTCTAGCAATAAGACCAACTGGAAATGTGAATAGATAATGAAAGCTATATCTATACATTTAATGCAAGTCAATAACTGAGACCGAAATGTATATAACCAAAGTGATACTTAAGTTTGTTAAAAAGGTGAATGTTGTCTTTAGAAAATTAAACATTTAAAACTTTATTTATCAAATCAGCATATCGTAAAGTTCATAATACTTTAAAACATATTTCCATGAAATATTAGGGTTTTTTATAAACCTCATGGATAATGTTTGTAACATCCTGAATTATCTCGTACATTTTACGCTGTGTCAATATACTTTTTGTTGAATTAAAATAAAAGAAATTGATGTATAAATGGACTACTAATTTGCAGTCTTATATATCTTGAATAAAATGTCTTCAAACTTTTGTAAGACAATTTTTCATCTCACTTCATAGCCATTCACTAACTGATAATGGCTTACATGTTTAATGTGTTTGAGCTTTTGATTTTGCCATTTGATTAGGGGCTTTCCGTTTTGAATTTTCCTTGGAGTTCGGTATTTTTGTTATTTTACTTTTTACATAAAATTTCTGTAATGATGATGCCACACTCTTGTGTATTAAACTGTCATTTAAGACGACATATCGACCTCAAGATCTTTTATGTATACAAAGTATTAAAAGAGTAGCTTCCGTGATGGACATTGTGCTTGACGAAGGTAGTTTTTAAGGACGTTCAGGACGTTGCGTTGGCATGAAATATCATTGATATGTCCATTTTTTCATTAAATTTACTGTTTATAAACATTTTTTTCTACCCCAGGTATAGATTGTCTTAGTCTTGTTTGGCACAACTTTTTCGGCTTTTAATGCTCTTCTTCTTCGTTTTTTATATGGCCTTTTAACTGTTTTAATTTGAGCTTCACTGACGAGTTTTATGTTGACAAAACACGCGTCTGGCGTACAAAATTATAAGCCTGGTATCCTTGGTGAGATTTTTTTACGTGTTAAAATTATAAAAAAGGTGGTGTAGAGTACATGTCAATACATCAACAAACTTAACGGCACAGAAACAATAAAATACACCCATTCAACAATAGCAGTGATATTGAATGACAAAATAAAGCCACAATAAATGGAAGGACAAATCTAATGAAAGTTTTGATACTTAAAAAAAATGTTGATCATCGAATTAACTTGGAATGTTAACAATGATGCCACTACTCAGAAAAAAAATCATTATTGAGAAATTGAAATATTAATGTTGTTTTGTGTTCAACTGCCACTTATATTACTAGTAGCTTACTCAGCATAAGATTAACAATGACACTTAAAGTAGGCAAATACGAGGTGTCAAATCCAGGTGGAGACAGAGACTTAGATTTTTGTACTTTTCATTGTTTTTGTATTTCAAATCTTGAATTACCAATAACTGACAGAACACATCTAGAAAATACCATTTGTACATTATCATAGCGTCGCTTCATTAACTTAATTAGCGCAAAAAACTAGTAGAAATAACAAATGTTCTAACCAACTCAGTTACAAGATGTCTTTACTAGTCAATATTTTCATTGTATTACTCGATATTAATGATATCTTGAACATATATTAATGAAACTATTACATATACATGTATGTATAGATTAATATCATCATATTGGCAAGAAGATTTAACGTCTTTTAAGCTATCTGAACGTCAGTTGAGTAATGCAATAAAAATAAAGTTTTTTTATTCCTTTTTATGAGAAACTTTTCGTGTTCTTGACCCAAGAACAAAATTTCCTCTGAATTCCCTCCCAGCTTTTGTGTCTCTTGCAACTGCTTCTAATTCGGTACCGCCATAGATAAGTTCAACTTCAACCTCTCTTGCTTTATTCTTTCCCGGTATAATTCTAGATAGATCTACTTTCAACTTCCCGACGTAGAAAGATCCAGGCTCATCTGTAAACTTCGGATTGTTCTTCTTCGTGGCATATAATTTAAAGTCCATGCCAGTTTGATTTGGGTCAATGGTTTTATATGTTTTACGTACCGAGCTTCCTAGAGTTACAGTCTCACCTTCTTTTACATGAATACAAAAGATTTTATCACAATGATATTTTCCATCAATGGCTTCTGACATTTTCTTGCTAGCAGGATGTTCTTTTCTATCAAATGGTTCGGTAGTCTCTATACCGTAAGTGTAGACACTTATTCTTGATGAAAATATTTCCGGTCTTTGTCCATATATCACTGAACCCTTAATTACGGCTAAAACTGGATCGATTGGAACTTTAACGCGCACAGATGGAAACTCCTTTTGGATACAGTCGTATAGCAGATGACAACATGAGAAACCGCCGACCATGAATATAGTTCTTATCCCTTTGATATCGCTTTTCTTGTACAGTTCTTGTAAATGTCTTTTTATCTCATTTATGGTCTTTTCAAACAGTTTTTTAAATATAGAAATATCAATTAACAGTTTATCCCGCTTCAGTTCTATATGGTTTATAAATGTATTGTTAATAGAAACTATCTCATTTATACCTTTATTGTTTATTTCCTTACAGAGCTCATTAACTGTACCTGGAAGACGAATTGGCACCTTTCCAGTGGCTGCAACAGAAAAATCCCTGCGTTTAGCTACTTCAAAATCTCTAAACAAATCCATGTAATCATTATGATATTTTAACTTGAATTCTTCAAAAACCTGATTTCCAACAATATCAATCAGGAGTTGTTTGAATTCTTGGTCTACCTTAGTACCACCCCAGTCACCTCCGTTTGCCCTGTGAAGTTCCTGTATCCGACCATTTTCTTTGATCTGATGGATGGCAATATCAACTGTACCTCCTGAAAAGTAAAAACTTGGTTGAGATTGATTCTTTTAAATGATACATGTTTAAAAATAACTGTGTTGACTAATTTTTTCGTCACGACTATATAAAACTCGCAGAAGGTCAGATTTTTGTAGACCATGACCTATTATTAAAGTTAACATTGTGACCAGGCCCCACTTCTCACCGAACGCGATTGTATACTCTAAGGACCCCTCTCATCATATTTACGTCCCATTTAAGAAGAATGTTAGTAAGATTTTGGAAGTAAGCAAAACACAATCAAACATACCAGATGAGAACCAGGCATATTCCAACGCCTGTAACGTAGTTGAACAAAAATATCTTTCAGCTAACAATATTGTAAAATACCAGCAGTTTCACATAATATAATCCGTTAAGCTCGTTTGCTGCGCTTTGTCACCAAGAAGCACTAATACAGTAACTACCAAATACTATTTCACCATATATCTAAGCAGTAACCCTATTTACACACATTAGTATTTTCATTTTGCCAGGTCAAATGGTCACTCCCTTGACAAATTTGTTGTGATGAGTTGCAGGAAATTCAGGAGATACTAGCTGTTTCAGCACATGACCACATGACATGGACTATCACGTACTAGTTTTTATTCATTCAGTACAAACCAAAGTACCATAGCTTAAAAAGATATTCCTAATACATGGAAGCTATTATTCTTTACACAAATTATTGAACAACAAATATGTATATACTTTACATCACAAATTATTGAACAACAAGTACTAGTATAGATACTGTGCATATAAGATGCTGGAAATTTTAAAGCCTTAAAAGACACGTTCTAAAAGTTCATAACAGTCCATAAAGAGGTCTGCAAATATCAGAAGATCTTCGATTGACAACCCATAAATCCAACATTGCAAAAAAAAAACTGCAAATTCGGCTCAAAATCCAACATTGCAAAAAAGAAAAACTGCAAATTCGGCTCACGAGAAAAAGCCTTAATCACTGCCCTTGGAAAGCAGGAAAACAACAGTACTTTGCTTGTATGATTTACTTTAGAGTACGGCGCACAGGTCTGGAGCCATACACTGTAGTTTATCAATCAACAGGAATAGTAACCACGACCAGCAGCACGATTTATCAAAGACGACTATAAATCAAGAGAGAATGGATGCATCTGAACATAATTTTTAAACTGGAACTTCAAGGACTCCGACAACAACGTTCAAGCCAAAACTAACATTTTTGTACAAGGTTGTTTGGGGTGTCCGGCTGTGGGTTCAGACAATTATCTAAAATCAGCACGACCAAAGACAAATTTTACAACTAAAAGGTTTGATAACTTTCAGACAACATCATTATAAAGAAGTAAGTAATAAATAACACAAGATGATTTGATTTTCCTAGATACAACAATATTCAAACACATGTTTGTTGAAAACTTTGATAGATTCAGAAGACTGTTGTGTGCACCTAAAGTGTTAAGAGCTTCAATTCTGCTCTCTGAAACCGTCAATAAATTGACAGCGCCATCTCCTTCGCTGTAATAAAGCCAGTGTAAATGTTTACAACGTATAATTCTGATACACAAGAGGAATATGTCGCTTCTCATCTAAAGGATTATCCATAACTATCACAATTACCGTAAGGTTTCGTATCAATCGTGTAAAATCGAGATCGATCTGTTTTCAATCAATGTGTTATTGTGCTATGGTCATTTCTGTATTCTTGTCTTTCATTTTTGCTAATGTGCTTTGTCTATAGAGTGTCCTTGTGCCACTTTGTTTTTCTTTGTTGACATAATTGTTTATTTTCATAGTGATTAAGATTATAATACAATGTTGACTGCTATTCCCCAATTTTTGACATTTTTACCTATTATGTCTGTTTGTTTTGCTCACACATTGTTGTCAAAATAATGGAATTCTATACGACTGTCATACAAGTGAGAGGTATAGCTAGTTATGAAACCAGGTTTAATCCACCATTTTCTACATGCCTGTACCAAATCAGGAATGTGACAGTTGTTTTCTATTCGATTGATGTGTTTCAGCTTTTGATTTTGCCATTTGATAAGGGACTTTCCGTTTTGAATTTTCCTTGGAGTTGGGTATTTTCGTTAATTTACTTTTCAATAGGCGTTAGTCCAGATATAAATAATGGTATTTGTTCGGTCTAGGAAAAGATGTAAAGGTATCTACATTAACTCATAAAAGATACCAAAGGGACATTCAAACTGACAAGTAGAAAATTAACTAACAATAAAAAGTAAAATCACAAAAATACTGAATTCCGAGGAAAATTCAAAACGGAAAGTCCCTAATCAAATGGCAAAATCAAATGATAAAACACATCAAACGAATGGACAACAACTGTCATATTCCTGACTTGGTACAGGCATTTTCAAATGTAGAAAATGGTGGATTGAACCTGGTTTTATAGCGCTAAACCTCTCACTTGTATGACAGTCGCATCAAATTCCATTATATTTACAACGATGCGTGAACGAAACAGACATAATAGGTAACATTGTCAAAATATGGGTACAGCAGTCATCACTGTGTCACAATCTCAAAACAAACAAATATTTAACAAAGAAGCACAAAAAGCATCTATCAAATCATGCCATGGCAAAAAATTAGACCAAAAGACAAACAACAGTATGCAAAACACAACATAGAAAACTAATGATTGAACAACACGAACCCCATAAAAAGAACCCGGTGTGATCTCAGGTGCTCTGGAAGAACAGAAGACATACTATTTGGTGAGACGGGTTTTTTGTTGACATTTTCAGTCAAGAATGATGGCGCCTAAGAATTAAAAAATATACTCAATATCTATTATATATTTTCCCGAGAGAGTATATCTAGATATTATTGCAAATAATTTAACCGTTAAAATCAGTCCTTGGTGTTGGCTTTGATGATACAGCGAAGCTTTATGACTTTATAAGTGATTATTGTAAACATCTTAAGTTTGACACTGTAGCAAATGTTTTAACTTCAAAATTTTAATCAGACTTTAATCATCATCCACTTAGTTAATTTACCTCCAGCGTCAAGGACAAGTACTTTTTCTCCCTTTTCTAAGTCAAATGAGGTTTCTCTTTTCATCCATTCAATACAGTAAAGAGATGCTGCCTCAGGTTCAAGTGCAACCTCTAGTTGACCTTGTGATATTCCTGCCTGTAACATATCAATCAATGATGATCTTAGGGGATAACGACATGTGGAGCATGTGGAGCAGGATCTGATTACCATTCCGGAGCACTTTAGATCATCCTCGGGATTTTGGTGGGGTCCGAGTTGCTCAGTCTTTAGTTTTCTATGTTGTGTGTTGTGTAAAGTTGTTTGTCTTTTGGCATTTTTCTTTTTCTGCAATGGCTTTGTCAGTTTGTTTTCGAAATATGAGTTTGAATGTCCACTTGATATCTTTCACCTCTCTATTATGACTTTTGTTATGAAGTATATACTTCGTTAAAAGTTTACCATAGAGTTTCCCCATTAAAAAACAAAAATCTCCATACAAACTTAAGACTAGAGATGACTTCTGATAATGATATACGTTATAAATCGTATGTTTTACGTAAATTATAATCGAATTATTCATAAAAATTACTCTGTCCTTTGGAGGTGGAAAATAAAATGTTATGTGTAGTTTATTGTTTGTACCTATTCTTAAAGTTATTCAATCGATATGACAAGTATTAATTATTCGGTAGTAAGTTTGAATTCAAATCGTTTCTGGGTTTGTTTAACCGTGATTACTCTTTTTTTGGTTTTCTATATCTAGCAAGGAAATCTGACAAACAGGCACATGAGAATGTATATCAGATAACTTGGAAAAAGTTACGTATGATTAGGGCAAATAGTTCGGGTGGATTGCATAACAAATTCAACATGTTCAATATAATCATTTAATTTGAAAACGGCGGACAAAGAATATCTATATTTTTCTTGAGTTACGTTACAATATTTGATGATTCATCAGATGGTCAGAAGGATAATCAAATATAGACTGGTTTGAATTTTTTTTATAGAATTTAGTTTTAAATTTATCTACTTATCTATTTCAAATTTAAGAAGCTGTGTTAAATATAGCAGTACCTGTCGTGTAGGTCAACTCAATAAACGTTATAGTATAACATGAAATGTTAACGACAATTTTCGAAATAACAGAGTCTTACCTGGTTAGCTGCCTGTCTCATAAACAGTTTAGCTCGATCATTCCATAATGCTGGAACAGTTAAAATCCATCTTATTTGATCTCCATTGAATAAATAGTGTTGTCTTTTACACATGTCTAACAAATTTGTTTTTAGATATCTAATAGCAGCAGAAAACACGTCCAATGCTAGCATTTCTTTGCCGGTTTCATCTTTTAACATCATATCCATATCAATATTCTGAAACAAGGACACAATTTGTTAATACTTAATAAGAATATATGCCAAAATTAATATGAAGTAAGGTGCTGTCCTGTCCAAATACCAGTAACACTCATCTAACATTTTTTGCAAGTTCAAAACAAATGAATAGTATCTTCAGTGTTAAGGGTATTTAAACGTATGTTATGAACCACGGGCGTAATTGACTATTGACAAACGGACCAGAGTATAGGATATTTTTCATACGATATACGTATGACAGTCAGATTTCATACAGTTTGAAACTTTTTTATGAAATAAACAATTGTTGACTAGCAATTTGGAAGCTTTATGAAATTTCAGTGAGTGCTTGTACCTTGTATATCAAAGTGAATTTGAGATTAAGGATACTACCGAAACGAAAAGGTATGCTTTATTCTTGATCTTATCTTCGATATTGACACAAATGGACGGCTTCAATCTAGAAACTACAACAAACGTGATGATTTCAACGTTCCATTTTTCAGTAGTAATCTGTCCATCGTATTGCATTTACATACCTCAATTTATACTTTACGCTAGTGCATGTTTACACTCTACGGACTTCATTAGCATGATTGTTTCCCTTTCACAAAAAATATTTCACCAGAGTTATGAGAAAGAAAGACTGAAATCGACATTGCATGAGTTGCATCACAATGAGTTGACCGACACCATATGTCTGTGTCTTAACTCACTGTAGCGATATGTTTTCGAAGTCTTTGAACTTTAGTTACCAGAAATGTCGTCTTATCTGGTATTTTACTGGCTGTGTTTAACTCTCGATTGTAACATTTTGACGGAGTGTAGATTTGCATAGCGATGATGCATGCCTAGCAGGAGACACATACCCTGTCGACGCACTACCTTTCGCGCTTTTTGGAGTTTATGCAATTTCCGCGGTTTTTGTTTGTTACCTTGATTTGTCTTAATCGACTTAACAATTATTTATCTTAATTAAAGTTTCACTCATCAAGAAGCCAAATAAGCATTTGGTTGTTCAAACGTCACAGTTTTGCGTTCTTTAAAAATAATGATACAGTGAGAATGTGCAAATTTCGGCATGTCGATTTGTTAAATGTATGAAATGGCATAAGTACAATCTTTTTGAAAGATTCTTATCTATTGTTGCATAAAAACATCTATAATCAGACAAAAAGTTAAAACTGCTCGAAAATTCGATTTCTTAATTAATATACAGTAAGAGGTGCAAATTATAGCATGTTGATTTGTTAAATGTATGATATGGCATAATTTATAGATAAGTACAATCTCTATGTAAGATTCTTATTCATTTTTGCAACAAAAAAAAACACTCTATAATCAGACAAACGTTGAAACGCCTCGAAAAGTTGTTTTCGCAATTAATATTTCTTCAAAAAGACTCGACTATACTTACCACGTTCTCGTAGAGGACCATTTTAAATCTACGAAAGTAATACCAGTCACTGTGTTTGTCATCCTGTGCAAGACTCGCATAATCTGTCTCAGCTTGAAATCCAAAAGAATGAAACTTTTTGTCTGCATCTAACAAAATAGTGGTCGATGTTTTCGATGCTTGGTAGACTTCATTTGGCCACACCATAGCATACACTAGAAGAGGATTGCTCTTGTAGTCATCTTTTGATGAAAATGCATACCCTGAAAATGTTGTTCCAAAATCGATAGCTGCAACCAACTTGAAATCACTTTTTTCTGTTGATTTACTTTTTGATGCTGTAAAATAGAATAATAATCCTCGTTGTCTGGTCCGTTCATGTCCAAAATTTCTACAAAGGATACATATTAAACAAGGGATAGCTCTAAACATGATATCTTATTAAAGGCAACAGTAGTTTACCGATGTTAAATATTCGTAAATCTATTTGGAATTAAATTGTCATGAGAACAAATCTGGGGTAATCACATCGAATCAAAATGGAGTGGAACTGGACGTCATTACAGGGTTATGGTTTCTTGCTGTGCATCAACCGTCATGCGCATCCAGACCAGTAAAATAATACGACTGGGAATATAACAAAGTCAATAATTTTTCAGATTAGACGACAATTCTGGTGTCTCAAGATCTCATACCTCGCAAACATGTTCCTAGTTCAGTGGGAATCCTAGACATATCTAATCGGTCAACCAATTCGTTTTGTATAGTTTTCTTCGAATGACTTTGATTTGGCTATTATTTTCAAGTCTTTTTTTATCATATAGCTCTTCAAATGTTTCGGTTCTTATTTATCATTTGCTTCCGAACAGTCGGCTTTGAGCGTTCCTTATGAAGGTATATCCAGAAAGGCGCTTTGGACGAATGAAACTTATAACGTGTTATTTTCATTCGTAGCTGATGTAGTTTAACCTTCATCAATGTAGTCTTACGATGTAATTTAAAACAAGCATGCATTTAATGTATAAGTTGAGTAAATGCCATGCAAGGGTACAGTTATATCATGGTTTAACCTTGCCTGGGCAGTTTGAACCTTACGAGAAATAAAATAAAGAAAAGACAAATATATAAGCAAAACAAAATAGTGAAAATGAGAGAAAATATATCTACAAACTAATCAACTTGTGAAAAGCTTTAGGCCACTGGATGCAAAAGTTTGTTAGTATATAAGCAAGTGACGTGTAATAAAAATATTCTTTCCTTCCATTTCAAGTAATGGACCTTTTGACGAAAGATATGTGTAATTTTGACCACTTAAGTACAAGGAACACTGGTTTAGTCTGAGAGACGAGACCATGATTTATTAATAAATTGTAATTGGCTTTGCACTAGCTACAGTAACTGCGAGTACTCTTAGATCGGTATTGTGTATCTTTTGTTTTAATGTTAGTTATTTTTGTACTTCCTATCAATCTGTTGAGTAACTCTGTTTCCAACTGACTTTTTTTAGTTCTCACAAATATGTTTAACCCCGCAACATTCTTTATTTGCCCGTCCCAAGTCAGTAGCATGTGATTCAGTGGCTGTCGTTATTGCTGTCGTTAATTGTTTTGACATAAATCAGTCCTTTGATTTTTCTCATTTGAATTGTTTCACATTTGTCATATTTGAACCCTTTATAGCTGGCTAAACGTTATGGGGTTTTGATCATTCTTGAAGGAAGGTCGTACAGTTGCTTACATAGACGTCATTTGAACTCTGGTGAATAGCTATCTCATTTGCAACCATACCACATCTTATTTTAATACTAGTGTAAAAAGTATGACTTTGATATATAAACTTCTTCATAATGACAGTAAATAAGTAATTTGTTCAAATCATTGTTTCCTTGGTTATTAAACTAATATTTAGTGTGAAAATTGATTTATAAGATAAGCGAGGGTCTGGATGGGGTTCACAGAATAGAAAATAATGGGCCAATACTACAGAAAAATGGACCAAAACAAATAAAGAATAGAGAAAAACAGGTCGAAAAATAAAAAATAGAGCATAATGGGATGCTTAAATATGAAGAATACAGAATTGAAGGACCCCTCATTCAGACACTAATGGGTGATATTGTAGATATGACTTCAGACTCTAACTTTGTAAAACATTTGATCAAATTGTTATTTTGAAAGGCAAAATCCTTTTGCATATGCACTGTAAAAAACGTTTAATCAAAGAAACGTGGCACTTCCATTGAAACAAATAAAAACTCGAGCGACCAGTTTAAAGTGCGGGATTTGTTAGAACTGTTGTAAAGCTGTATCTATGATCATACCAATACGACAATCTTCCCATTGACAGTAATACTAAATATTTATTTACCCCTTTTCCCGTTCCAAATAGAAAAATAAGGAGATTTGTTATGATTGTAATGAGAATACTATCATCCGAGGACCACTACTATTTCAGTTCCTATAAATTCATATACTCTATCCGTACTGAAAGGGTATTGCTACGTTTGAATGTCTTCTTTTTCTTCAATACCACCATCAGTGGACTGTCAATCTTCAAAGGTACCATCCAGCAAATATCAACTTCTGCGGTACATGCAAGATTTACATGTTCATCACTATAGATCCTCTTATCAAACTTTTCTCAAAATTATGTTACACCTCAATAAGAAAATGTTTGCATCTATAAAACCTTGGTTTTCAAATTTTAGGTTTGAGAGTTCCTGAGATAGGTAAATCCAGAAAAGTGCTTCGGACAAACACAATTTATAAAGTGTTATTTCAATCACTGAAACGGTCATCGCTGTTCTTTTATGGTCTCTTTGGTTTTGGAACTCTTTCATGTTTTGTTATATATGGCCTCCAAGCCCTTCGGTCTCGAGTGTACGTGATAAGGTTATCTACGGAAACATATAAGATCGGCGCCATACTTGTTTGACTAGCGCTGGAGATTGCAAGAAAACTACAGTCCTCGACAGACGAATGAATCGTCTGCCAAATAGTTAGGTCTCCATTACTGGCGTTCCAAAATATAATGCTAGTCGATTCAGTATCGAAGGTTTTAACTGGACGAGTCATATATTTCATAGGTTAATATTTTTTTTTTAAATAATTGCTCTATGTAAACTCATTTTGCGACAGTCATTATGTTTTGTGTTACTTATGCCATATCTAAAATGCAAAATATTCTTTCCATAATTGTTAATATTCAGTTTAAAAATCATTGAATTGTACTTAAACAAATGATACACGCAACACCCTAAGGCAAAATTGAACTAAGAATATTTGGGCTATTATTTGTAGACCTTTTACTGTATTGGTGGTTTATGAAAATTAAAATGTTATAAATGTCGGTGCGCCCCCCGAAGCGCTTTACTGGATTAAACTTCATCAGAAACGTTCAAACCCAGAAAAATGTGACAGCTAAGGATGTATAACTATTTGAATAACAAGGATCTATGACCAAAAGGTGCCAGTTTTACCTAAGAGAAGTTTCCCTAAACTTTGTTATAAACAATGAAATAATATATGTTCATGTTAGAACACATAGTCTATACTCTATATTCCGTTAGGAACAATTATTGTAACATTTGTTCTATGTGAAAATGATGATACAGAATTGTTCTTACATTTGCAACTTATATTATGAAAGAACTTCTTTTTTAAAAGGACGTATTGAAAAGGGCCATGTTGCCGCCTAAGGTCAACTTTATCTGATTGGCTTCCAAAACGAATTGGCTCGAGTTTACCTGCATGCGTGATATACTAACTTATTTAGTTTAAATGATGATGATCTGAATAATACCAATTTCAATTGGATTTTATAATTAGACTTCATGAAGCTTGTTATATACGGGTGTTGTTTCTGATTTCTGTTTTGTTTTCTTGATTTGTAGTATTTAAACAATAGCTGTGAATAGCCTTTTGTAGTTGCGAGGACATTTTGACCTTGTTTTCACACTAAGATGTCGTATTTCATTTCCTCAATCAAGTTAGTGATCACCCTTTTGGTAGCTGCAATGTGCAGGTTTTTTTATGTGTGATTTAGATTTACGACATACGGTCGAAATTAATATAAAGTTAGGTTTGTGCGCATGCACGTAAAACTGGGTTAACACCAACACATAGTGTGCCTGTACCAAGTCAGGACATTGACCATCTGCATTAATAAAAATTGCTGTAAACCAACTAATCTTCGCGACTTTCGCGAGTAGAAAAATTACGCAAATAAATATTGTCGCGAATATATAAAACGTGGATCTTTCCTTATATATATTGAACTATTAAAATCAAGAACATAAAATCGCTAAAATAAATCGGTACGAAGTGGGTTTGATACTATAGAGCTAAATGCGAAATAAAGTATACTCGAAAAAAAGTTGGTTTACAGTATTGTCACTAAATGCATCGCATGCATATTAAGATTTATCTGTTAAGTGTTTAAACACTTGAAGTGTTTCACTTTAAATGTTCGTTTTGTTTTTCACTTTTAACTAAGTTGATATCATTGGCATTATAATTACTATTTAATGATCTCGACATTTTTCCTCTTCTACTTCCTGAAATAAAGAGATTAAAACGTTAGCAAAATATTCAACAAATTGACAAAGAATATCTTATTCTCGATTGGTAAAATGAAACTTTTTTTAAGATAACAGCATCTAAAAAGGACTCTTTGTGATATCAATTATAGTTTAAAAGTAACAAAGATGTTAGTTAAAAGAGTTGCAGATTCAGAAGATCCATAACATTCCAACCACAAAGAAAAATGAAGACATATTTCATCTCCTATGCACCAATCTTGACAATAACTGCACCCATTAAAACAATTATAAACCCCCTTACGAACAATAACTCACTCCTGTAAACTGCAGTCCCTCTTTTCAAAATCTAGTTCAATGAAGTATCTCCTTGATACATTCCATTTTTAAAAGTTGCTATCCTTTTCTGTTTTAATATCGTGTCGTGTCATTGCCCTATCATCACCTATGATCTTGCGTCTAAAAAGAAATGATCGGAATTACAAATTTCGATCAATAGGCATATTAATTCCAACAACCAATATATATATAACATCTACGTCCTTTTGGTGGATAGGTGTCTGATTGACAATCACACCACATCTCCTTATCTTATAACATGCATGGCATATGATTACTGTTTGTGTTTTTATCGTTCAAGTAAAAAGGCTCTGTATTGTCGTCTCTTTTAAGTGATAAGCACCCATATTTCCAGTATCTACTTCTATCAAAATTATAGAAAGGTCGCGCTTCTTAGGCTTGTTTACTTGTTGAAAAAGTTAAAAAAAATGTTTTCTTCGGTAGCAAGCCATGCATTTGTTAATTTGAAATGTATGTGTATATTTTCTTACTATATTTTCGTTTGGGCTTGTATTATATTTGCCTTCGGGTTTATATGATCCGTTCATCCTATTTTGACTCCTCAAAATTCAAGAGTCTATCCTAAATTGAGGTAAATTGTATGGCTTTCCAAATACCGTTTCGATTCCTAACATCACTGAAGAGACATTAATTGTCGAAATCCGGATATGGTGTACAAAAATCTTTGCACCTTTTGTTTGCGGTATATCATCTTTTCCGCAAGTTTATTGTTTTCTGTTTAGTATCAAATTTATAATTAAGATCCATTTATTACATCGGTGATCCGTTTATTTGGCAATCGCCAATGGCAGTCAGCAGGGTTTAAGAACATTTGTTGTTCGACCTGTTAGTCAAATGCGTTTTGTTAAAACATACTTTTTCAATTTTTTGGTCTTTTGGAAAATGTTGTTTGTGCTGTATTTAGACCCCTGTATCAAGAAATTTGTTTTGCATGCACACGTATAAAAATTGCGGTTTTTATCCAACGCAATCTTAGGTTTGAACGTTATTTTCAATTTAGACTTGTTTATATTTTCTTACAAACACACTTAGTATTCCTAAAGTTGATAAGCATTGCACATGTTTTCCAAAATCTTTTCTTGTAACTGGAACTTTCGACATAACTTAAACATGTCAGCATGGTCAGGTTGAATAATACATTTGTTTCAAAGATGTTAAGAAAAGGCCAGGATATGTATGTTTAGGTTTAAAGAATAGAAGGAAAGTGTATTTGATAAAGGAACATCCATTCAAAGATTCATATTTTAAAATTCAGATTAAATAATTTGATAATGATGTCAAATATCCGATTTACGACCAACTTCGAAGAAAATTGGACATATTGTTTTGCAAAAGTTGATCTGTCGAAAAGTGAATTACAGCTGTTATCTATAAGCTTGAAGATAGCATAGAAAAAAATAAACGATATTGGAATAAAAAATATACTCACAATGTAAGAAAAGAGGAAGTAAATTTGTATGTAGATAGGTATATACACATCTTTTGAGAAGACACGTCACCAAGCAGTATAAAACGATCGATAATATATTTAAACCGTTTATATCATGGCACATTTACAATACCAACGACGATAAAATTTTGGGATAGTAATTCACCCGTATATTTAAATAGAATGTTCGTATCCATCAAAATCTGAAACTATATAGCCAAAAATGATTTGGGTGGGATACTTTAGCATGCTTATATCACATACATGCGAACATGGACAAATGGGAATTAATGGTTTCTTATCTTAAGTTATAAACCTTCTAGACATCTGTCCAACATTTGTCTGCTTTGGTTTAACTTCAAACATATTTGTTTCATGATCTTGTACAATTTCATTTAATCAAAAGAGGTGGAATGAATATTGAATTTTGAAGGGTAAAAATTAAAAAGAGTTAATTGTGAAATTCAATGCATTTCTCTCCTGTACTTGTCAGTTCACTCGACCAATTCAATGGGTCATATTTGGAAAGTTGATGAAACCAGGTTAGAATTATGTACTTCAAATTGATGTTGAAGACAATTTTGTACCAATATTTAAAATACATCCGGAACTAAATGTATTGATATATTTCTGAAATATAGTAAATAGATTTTCATGATATCTGATATATAAAATTGCCTTTCCTTTGCAGGTCCTCGAGATAGATTTTTTTTTCATTTTTTTTTGTTGGTGATAGAAACAACTACCTTTGAAAAGCGAATCAAGCAAGCATCGCAATCAATTAAGAGAGTTAGAGTAAACCTCAGTTTCGGTGTTGAAATCCAGGCAAGTCATATAAAAAGGGGGGTTCTAACCATATGACCCCATACAAAAGCATTAGTTGTCAAACAAAAAGGGGGGGTTCCAACCGCCGGGATCTCCTTGGACCCGCCAATGTTATGCTGACTATTTGTTCATATGTACAGTTTCGCTCTTTCTACTATAGTTCGCAAAAAAAAAACTTAAAATATCTTAAAATTGTCTATCAATGTCAAATACTCCAGTAGAGAGTCGAGTGCTGATTTCTGTCATTTTATTTGTAGACCTTGTCCTGTAAATCTTTTCATTCTATCTATTTAAGCTTTCCAGACATAATTTCATACGTGTTTCTCGTTTTTCGTTTTTATATAGATTAGGCCGTTGGTTTTTCCGTTTGAATGGTTTTACACTAGTAATTTTTTGGGGCCCTTTATAGCTTGCTGTTCGGTGTGAGCCAATGCTCCGTGTTGAAGGCCGTACCTTGACCTATAATGGTTTACTTTTATAAATTGTAACTTGGATGGAGAGTTGTCTCATTGGCACTCATACCACATCTTCCCGGCTATATCTAGAAATAAAAAAAAAAATTAAAAAATGTTATAACTTGCCATTTTATGGCAATTACTCCAATAAGGAGTCGCATGACAATTTTAATCAAAATAAAATGGAAAATAAATATATCTTCACGTCCTCTGTACACGCGTCTGACCCTGTCAGATTTGCTTTATCTATACAACGGTTTTCAAGATAAAAGACATTCTATCGCTATGTTCTTTTGAGCATTGGTGGCCATATTGATTGGTACTGAATTGGTTCATCGAATAACTTGATACCCCAAGGATGATTGTAGCTAAGTTTGGTTTGGCTCAGTAGAAGAAGATTTTTGATAAAGTAAACGGACGACGGGCGGCAATCGACGGATGGATTTATAATGTGGTTATAATATCTCTTTTACCTGGCTATACAGACAAGAACATATTTCTGTTTGGTTCCTTTTAAGCTATCTTCATATGATTAAGCAGTTATACATTTTCAAAACATATTGAAATTTCAATTTATTACATTTAGATGCTACTTTTTATATTAAAAAATGCACGTTTATGATCTTTCTAGATTGCAAAAACAGGTGAAGTATAGTGAAAAAAGTAAAATTCTTAGCAGCGTTGCATGCGACGTCCACTACTTTTTTGAAAGTTAGCAATTAAAATACGGCACATGCATTCATTTCTTACCAAATATATAATGTCAATTGTTCTTTTTGGAGAAATAAGACAAAAAATTATTAATATAATTTTTGCGGATGAGTATAGTCAAGAATGTATGTGTGCAATTTAGGTACTCCTCAACACAGATGATTCAGTGAGCATTCAAATCAAATTTGTGGAACTACTAGTATATGATCTATATAGTATTAAGGTGGCTCACCCCAATAAGGACCCCCGGTAGAATTTTTTTATTTTCACATATTTTGTAGATTTTTTTATGCTGAATCCAAAAATGCAAAGAAAAAAGGGGGTCACCAGGCTCGTTTTCCCCTCAAATGGAAGCGAAATGTGCGATTTTGACCCTATTTCCAAACTTTTACACCCTTTCAACAATAACGACTACATCAAATTCAAAGACTTTAAGAACCATGTCAGTATAATTATTATGTGAAAAAACAATTAAATTTGAAATGTAAATGTTCCCCTTGGTTGTTTTAGACTTAAAAATCTTTTTATTTTCAGATTTATGTCTAAATTTGGCATTTTTTAATTTCAGTTTAAGGCTAAAAATATTGGTTAAATCGATTTTTCGTAAAATTTCCCCGGTAGATTTTTTTAAAAAACGGATATGTCAAAGCTATGAACTTTTCGAGCATTTTAAGGTAAAATAAAATGGGGGTCACCAGGCTTTTAAAAAAGTTACGAGCTTTTGTTTAACCCCTCTACCCCATGAGGTCTGATTTCAATGCACTCCATTAATAACTTTATTGTGATTTTTTTATTAATATCTTTAAATAAATAATGTTTGTAATTATATCAATGGACGAAAGCTGAATATAAATGTGATGAACATTTTACTGTTTGTTATAAAAAAGCGAAATTTTGATTATTTTGTTGAAATACGGTAATTTTGTCTGGCGCGAGTTGCTTCCCTCTAATCTGGCGCCATAATCGGACAACAGAAATTTCAGGGTCGCCATTGCTGAGCAGCATACTGCACTGATAAATACGACCATGTGCATGAATAACAGACATAGTGGCGAATAGACAACGATGAAGGTAGAGTCATTACATAAGAAAACATAGATTTTAATATATTAGACAGCCAAATGTAATCAGTATCACGAAAAATACAAAGTGGGGGGTTATCTCAAAATACTCGATACTGTAGAAAATCACTGCGGCTGAAACCTTGCATGGGCTAAATTTCTATTCTATGTATAATCGTTATGGCTGGTATCTTATTTATGTGTTTACTTGACCCTTAACATGTTAACTGGCAAGTTGTGATCATGTATAGCCTGTTTTGAAAAAATATCCGTGTCAAAGAGGAGCTAGGGATGGTCATTTTCAGCATCTCATGATCATGATAATCTGCGCTATCGTTAGCGTCAAATAAGTCTTGATTTTATATCGTCATTCGTAAAATCTAATTCGTAGCCACGTTAGGGAGCTACCATTTGATTTTTATGGGTGGGGGGGGGGGGGGGGGGCTAGGATGAAAAATGTTGTCCTGCTTTTTTTTTTTAGTTGTAATCTCTGTCTTGCCTTTTTATTTTTTTACTCTATTTGGTCCTGCCTTTTTTTTACTAGTTTATCCTGAATTTTTTTACACAAATTGTCATCCTGCCTTTTTTTTTTTACCCGTGTTGCTCATTCTGCTTTTTTTTTATACTCCAAAATCCTGTCCTGCCTATTTTTTCAAATTTCATCCTAGTGCCCCCCCCCCCCCCCCCCATAAAAATCAAATGGTAGCTCCCTTAGGGTCAAATGAAGTTAAATATTTATCGTTAGCGTCTATAATGACTAGTAAAACAGGTTGGGAACAAACCCTCTACATGGTGTTTATACCTGTATACTGAGAGGAATAATCCTTCTATAGAGGGATAAAAGAGGGGTATTTTTGTGTAGATTGGATTTAAAGCAAAATGGGGCAGATTGGCATTTTCTAGTTATATTTGCTATAATCTATAGCACTATATATGCATCAATTATTGCACTTTACTGTATTCTGTATTTCTTTACCAAAAAATGGCCTGGGATGCCCAGTTTTCTGCTAAAGTGACAGAACTTGCGATCTATTGTATACCTATCTGAACACCTGATCAACAACAAAAGGGACATGCAGTTGACCTTTAAATTTTATGTTAAATCTAACAATAGAAATTCTGTTCAGTGAGGCATAACTGAGTGGAATTTACCTGATCATCACAGCTTTCAATTATGGTGTACAATAGATTGTATATTCAGTCAGTTTAGCAGTAAACTGGGCATGTGAAATGAAATTTAGTACATCAATTGGTGCATCATATGTAGCAGGTTACTGCCATAATAAGTAGAAAATGCCATTCTGCCCTATTTTGCTTTAAATCCAGTCTAAACAAAAATTCCCCTCTATAGAAGGATTATTCCTCTATACAGGTTTAAACACCAGTGGCAGATCCAGGGGGGGTTCCGGGGGTTGGAACCCCCCCTTTTTTTTGATGATCAATGCATTTGAATGGGGACATATAGTTGGAACCCCCCCTTTATCCTGGGTTAGGACCCCCCCCCCCTTTTATAAATGGCTGGATCCACCCCTGAAAACCATATAGAGGGTTTGGTCCCAACCTGTAAAATGGGGTACCCCATAACTTCCCTCGGACAGGGGTTCATGATTACCACTCCCTATCCCCAACTCCCATTTCTCTTCCCTTTTACTCTAAAATTTTCTCCCCTAACTTCTACTTCCATCCCCCTTGCTCCCAGACAAAAAAATTGCAAAATATATTTCCCAGATTATTCATCCCCCCCTCTTTTCGAATTCTTGTCCTTTCACCCAAAATCATGTTCGCTCCAATTCACGTTCATCCCTTTTACATTCCCACCCTGAGTCTTTTTGTATTCTTCCTTTTATCTAAATCATGCTTTTGTTAGTATAGTTCTATAACAATAAAATAAAGATATATTAAGTTTATTTTTATTGTTTAAAAATAAAGTGACTCACACGAGATCTAAGGTTTTTTTTCTATTTATAATCTTCATAAGATTTACTTCTACCAAATTGGTTACTTTTATTTTCACTTCGACCAGGCT